CCGGTGCATCGCAAACAAATTTGAAACTGGCACACACACACACACGCATCCGAGGAGATATTTTGACTGGCCCCCAAACCACAATTAGGCCTTGGGGCAGGGCAGTGTCCATTTGTGGAGTTTCTCCCTTTCGGCTCTTTGACGCTGTCCAAATCGAAGTTTCCTCTGAGCACCAAATACAAATTGCTTTGCCAGCTGTTGCAAAAAAACCGGGGGCAAGAACTGTTGAAAGGGGGCGGTGGACAACTGGGAATTTTCGTGACGCAAATCCTTTCATGGCATTCCCAGCATGCCCCATAGAGAGGCAGGACCGGCATCGAAAGTGGTTCCTTGGCGGTTGTGCAAACAGAATGCAATGTCAGCCCTGGAGAGCAGGAAGACTGTGGCAGAAGGTCAGGCAGGAATGGGGGTGGGGGCCCACTACAAACATACTTGTAAAACTTACAAAATGAAGGGAAGTACACCCAGAGAAGCGCATTTCCTATTTCCTCGCAAAAAACTTTCCAGACTTTGCCCCCAACAAACTGCAGGAGCAGGAGAAGGAGCAGGGGAAGGGGAAGGGGGAGATAGTATTAGCCTTGGCTTAGGGCAAAAAATTCTTAGAATCAAAGAAACTTATGTATGTTTCCTCTGTAATTCCACTTAAGAACGAAGTGAAGGCTGGGATGTTTGTGATTTTTGGATTCTACTGAAGAAATTCAAATGCCAAAGCTGACTGCTATGAAATTATATAGACAAGAACTGCGACTAAACCCTCAACCATTATGATTTAATCTTTTGGAAACACTTAAAGAGCTTTTTGGCAGGGGAAATCCCATAAATTGCTTCTGCTGTTTTTGTCGGAAATTCCAAACCAAAAGCCATTGATAAACAATAAATTGTTGAATATTCATACAATATTAGCCCCCGGGCATAAGTATATGTATATTTGGTGGACAAGTGTGCGTTGGAAAATTCATATTCATGAGAAAAATTCATCTTCTGCAGTCGTAGGATTGCAATAAACGGAAGAAGAAAAACCTCCCATCAGTATATGCAATATATCTCTTTTAAGAGGGAAAACTTTTGGATTTCGGGTAAAGAATTTGCCTTAAATGTTGGCAGTTTTATCCCAGAAAATCTCTCAAGGTTTTCGTTCTTATTTCCATATAAATCCACCCACCTTTTGTTGCATAAGCGGCTTTTACATGCAACATATTGCTTTGCATCCTGTTTTCACTTAAGAAATCCCACGCAATGTCCTCAAAAAAGGAGGCTATGGAAAATCACAGTTTATTACCAAAAACTCTGCTTGTGGCAAACAAAGTGGTCTACCAGCCCTAGGGCTGGTATCTCTCTCGCATGCGATATGCATTTCACGTATAGTTCTGCCCTCCCAGGAAGGGGGGCACAGCTGGGTGAAGAAATTGTGGCAAAAATAAACAACAGGAAAAATGCAAAAGAGATGATATAAAACTTGACACCCGACACACACCGAGGCGCAACCACTTCCGCTGTCAGGAAATGAAAGTCGTCTCCGTGTATGAGTATGTGGAGTATATGGTTGTGTGTGTGTGTGAGTGTTTGTTTGTGTAAGTTACGTGCGTAGCCAAACAATTTATGGGGGGGAAGGGGGTTTCGCAAAAATTTTGTAAGTGCAAGTTTTTGCACCTCCCTTTTTATTACCTTTCTCTCTCTCTAGGCCTACACGTTGCTCTTTCTCCTGGTACCGTTTTTTTAAAAAATGGTTGTTTATTCAAGCATGAGGCATGGAGCCGCCAAAAAGTGCCGGCCTGGCACTCTGCCTCATCGCACACACACATATTGTTCGAGTCATCTTTTAAATTGAATTTCTGTGAAGGATGCGCGATATTTTGTGGAACAAAAATACAGAAAAAGGTAGTAAAACTACGAGTATAGTGGAAATTCCAACAAAAAAGGGTACGTTTTCCCATCAATTGTTTGGGATTGGGAGGGGTACTCTTTAAGGGTATTCTTTAAAGCTGGTAGCCTAAGAAATACTTCTTATACTTTCAGCAGACCAGACACTTTGGCAATGATGACACTTGCCCGACATTAATCTCCTGTTGTCGCCAACTACAACAGCATCTAGCAATTAGTCCGTTTGATGTGGCAGCCACAGCCAAGCACTCGTCGGAGAACTCTGACTTTTCGATTCCTGGTTTTGCCTAATGACTTTTGCCAGTTAGTCCTAGATACTAGCAATATGTGTGTGGGCCTAATTAATATGCTTATGGTAATGGAGCGGAGACCAGCGACAAAAGTGCTGTCAAAGATTCCTTGTGGCAGGACTTATGGCATTGTTTTATTTGCAGCCTGTTGATTACTTTCCAAAGTTTGAATCTTTCATAGGATAGCGCCTAGTCGAGTCAGAGTCCTTCATTAAATTAGTGGCTGGTCCTTGAGATGTCTGCGTCGCCACTGAAGCAAATCTTTTCTTTCACTGCTTCTTGTGATGGAAAAACCTCTGGCACTCCTTTTTCTAATGGGAAAAAACCCTCGTTTCCTCCATTACTCCTTCTTCTAATGGAAAACTGTGGTTGGCTGCTGCTCATCGTGGAAATTAGTGTCAGACAAAGTCCCGTTGTTCTCGCCGTCTTATCTGGTAATTGCCGGACAATGAATGCGGTTTAAAAGCACAAGAGAGCGCCACAATAAAGGACATTATCTAATTAGATTCGTGCGGCGGAGGGCGTTAAAAGATACTTTCTCTTTAGCAGAAAAAAAGTTTCCACAAAAACCCGAAGGAAGAATATTTAAACGAATATTGACCTTCAAAATCTTCCTTTTGTTTAAAGTTTTTTGTTCTAGCAAAGTTCCTTTGGGGTTAAGGCCCCCATTCAAGATGTTGCGTCTCTAATGGCCAACAGACGACGACAGCTTTAAAGCCTTGAGGTCCTTGAGGGTCGATGGTTAGAGGCCATGGCCAGTTGGTCAAGCCATTCGACCATGGCTATCAATCAAACGCATCCGGATGACAAATGCCCTGTAGAGAGGATCTGTGGACGGGGACGTGAAGTGGCTGTTCCACTGAAATTATGCACACCAGCCACAGAGGACATGGAGGACTCTACCCAGTGGGCAGTTTATTTACCAATGGCCAACAATGGGTCCTACACAAACACCCACTCAAACGGGAACCGGGACACACACGAGCAGCCATGAATGGCTGTTGCATGGCCCGGAAATAGGCTAGCAGACATTTTGAATGTGCGGGCGGGTAGAGTGCTCTCAATCCCTACTGTATCATCGACAGAAACTGAAGGGAGTTATAATACGATTGCCGGATGAAATCTGTGCAGAATCCACATTTAATTGTTTAGCCAAATTATTACCTCATTGAATGTTATTTCAAAATTGAAAGGCAAACACTTTAGCTGTCATGTAGCTTGTTTTGAAACTGCTGAGCGGGGGATAAGATAATACAGCATGCCATCAATTATCGATTTGTAGAGAATTACAATGTATTTATTTTCCATCTTTTTCCCCCCTGAGAAGAGGGCAACAGAACAGCTGTAACTGAGCAACTGCGCTGTTAGCATTCCAGGTTAACAGCCTGTTATTGGTTAACAGCGTGTGGCTGCTCTCAGCTACAGCGGACTGTTAGCTCACGCTATCGCGCCCGCTCTGCTCTTGAGATCCACAGAGGACTCGAGCGGCCTCTAAACAAGAAATGACATGATAATTACGTTTTAACCGCTGCGAATAACTACGAATTGCCAAGTGAAATATACGACTTATATATGTATACCAGGGAAGGGCTTTGGGTGTTTGTAAAAACGATGAAACAAGATAATCACCCGGAAAAACTCTCTTTTCTTGAGCACATGTGATCGCTGCTAATTATAAATCACTCAAGCTCTGCCCTTCCTCTCTTGTGGCCTCGCTGAGTTTATTCATGCTCGTCTTTCGGGAGATTCAGGTGCCGGTGGCTTCGGCTCAACAATGATCGGATTGATTATGAGTAAACTCAACTCGTAGGATTTTGCTCAAGTGCATTTCGACGCAGCGAGATTTCGTTTGTGTGCGTAAAAAGCGGAACATGTGTGTATACCGAACATCAGTGATGTTGTGTGATTTGAGTGAGTGAGTAAAGTTGATTTTACCAAAGACTATACAATACCAAGATGTTGCATGAGCGACCAAAAAGCTGTTCTATGGCGGGTCCTAACATTAGAACGCAAAAGGCACGAGGGAGCGCGCGGGGTTTTAATTCCCTTTTCGCCTGTACTTCGTCTCTACCGCGACCCCGCTGCCCATCGGTTTCGTCTGTTCGGCAATTCTGGACTCTCGAGCCTCAGCACCGTAGAAGCGGTGGTCGCGGATCGCCGATGTCTTTGGAGCGGCACAGTGGGACCTTTGGCCGTCTCAGCTTGGTAAATTAGTTAGTGAATATGAGTTCAATAAATATTTGCACACTGAAAAAATGTTAAACTTTGAGTGCTTATATCTTCTAAACTAAAACTATCTTGAAAATTCGATTGGAAAATTCTCTATTAGATGCGTACATTAAATTTATCTAAAGCACTCATACAATTTTTTTACTATTTCGGCCCCACTGTGCCGCGCCAAAGACATCAGCGACCACGCTGCCCTACGGTTTCGGCAAGCAGACGATTCATATTTTGTTTTTGTATTCTTTCTCTTGAGACACACCGACTCGACGCTAACCGAGGCATTGCCGAAGCCGAGTAGCATTTCGGAGGCGAAGGTAGCGTAAAAGAGATTTGAAGTAATAGCCCCGCGCGCCCGTACCATGAAGCGTCAAACGAAAATTGAAAAAGAATTTGTTCCTCATGCAACATCTTGGTATTGTATAGTCTTTGATTATACTCAACGCTGAGTATTTATGAGTGTTTACGAATGTCGATGCCTTATTGAAAGCTAATGCTGTCTGTTTCTTGTCAAATGTGATACTTTCTTTATGAAATGCCTGTATTTTCCTGTCAAAATATTAAAAACAAAAAAATTTTAAATACCCCCCATTAAAAGGCAAATAATTTGCTCTGTGGAAGGAATTGTTGTTACAGATTCCCGCATATATTTAATGCCATTTACTAATTCGATTTACATTCACTTCCAAGAGACTGTTGTCTGTTACCAAAAAAATTAATTTAAAAAAAATCACAGTTAAATCGATGTTAAATTGGAAACAGGAACCAGAATTTTGTTGGTCTTTGGTGTTGCATTGTTTTTGTGTGTGTAGAGGTCGTTGCAGATGCCGATTTAGAGGCGGTTTATTCCTCCACTGCTGGGGGACATCGCGTTGGGCAGGATGCCGTTTGTTGTTATGCTGCGTGTCGGCTCCGCGTGTTGCAGCCGGACCAGAAACACTTGGAAGATGTCCGGTGGCAGGGTGCCCTGCAACATCTGCAGGAATGCCTCCTGGCGCGTACAGACGCTGGTGGCGTTGATCATGTGCACGATGCCACCGTCAATGTCGCCGCTCATTATACGGTTCTCGCCCAGAAGGACTTGCTCCAGAAAGTATTGCTCGGTGTTGGTCTTGACCATGCCGCGCAGGGCCTGGGCCTGGGTGTGCTGCAGCTGTGGCATCGATCCCTCCTGGGCAACCGCCTCCTGCTGACGATCCTGATCCTTGGCTAGCTTCGCCTTGAGACGACGGGCGCGCACCTTCTTCTTGTAGTCGGGATCGCTGCGGCGTTTGTTGTCGAAGTAAACGCAATACCCCAGGACAGACGAGACGGCGGTGAGGGCCAGAAGTTTACAAGCGCCACGAATCATTTCGAATTATTTTTCGTTTCGGGAAAAAATTTTGTACAAATCAAAATTTTCTTACTAGGAACAAAACTTTTTCTGATTCTCTCGGTCGGACGATCAACTCCGTACTACACAAAGATGTTTTGTATACTGAATATTTTTGTGGAAAAGACGAACGGGCTGGCAAGGGTTTGGCCCACACGGCCTACTATTTGGGGTACCCAAAAAGTGGTAAACATTTAACATTTATTCGGACATGTCTGGCCCCTCAAAGGTTGTCAGTTGAACATATATTTTCTTGAGCGAAACCCTCAAATTAAATGCAGGTTTCCTTAATAAAACAGCCGTCCAATCGAATGTCCGTGGCGAATGTTCAGCTGTCAATTAACCTGGGTTGTTACTCCTTCTAAATGTCCTTGGCCCACACAAAAACCAGAAAATACAACTGAAAGTAGGGAAAAAGAACTGTTGCTCTGACAAGGAGATGGACGTGACATGGATGGATTTTGTTGGAAGCGGGCCTTCATTTTAGTAATGCAAAGGACCTTTAACCTTGTCTTCCACTCCTGCCCCATTGGACTACTAGTTGCTGGAGCATATGTGCTGCCATAGTATTCGTGAGTTGATTAGCATTTTCCATGTGATACGACACCCCTCTGACAATTTGCGGTGTGACCTCCGATTCGGGGTGTCTCGCCTTCAGTCTGTTGCTGTTGGCAACAGAATCTTTTCAACTGACTTTACCGCCCCCCCTCCCCAACGCCTTAAAGGCTGCCATGACAATGCTGGGGGACAAAAGGGAAGACTGAGACTGAGAGTGGGGTAAATGCGATACAAAACATCGACTTATTATGTAAATTGTTATACCCATGCTTTCATTCCATTAAATGGCAGTTTCCAGGAATCGTAGAGATGTTTGCCATCAAATCCTATTACCTTCAATAAAAATGGCTACACCAGCAGCACCGACTTTATTGTCAAGTTATTACAACAAGCCATTTGACGCCTTAACGGGACACTCTGGCTACCAATAAAAAGCGTAGCTCTTTGTTTGATTCCGATTCTGCTTTGCATTCAACTCCGTCTGTGATTCAATTATATGGGAGAATGAATGAGTGTTTGAGTTTAAAATTTCAATTACATTTGGTAATCGCTGGCCATTATGCGTGGGTCTCCCTGCCGCCTTCTTCGTCCTTGATTGAAGCTGAAATGTATTTGATTTGAAAAATCCATCAGTGAACGTGGGATGTCAAAGGGATAGGGCATCTCTGAAAGGATTTGCATTAGAGCAGAACCCTTACAGACCATCGCTGCTCTCTCTCTCTCTCTCTCTCTCTCTCTAAGTAATAATCAAATAAATTTACTTATGGCTCAAACCACTCGTGCCTGGCCGAAGGACTTTTCAGGGGAGCTTTGCATGAATAATATGAATATAATGCAGTTCCTAATGAAATTGGGCTGACCAAAATTACTATTTATTCAAGCAAACGAATGCGTGCAGAATATTAATTTTCATTTGCCAGGAGAAATCATGCAATTGGATGGATCAAAAGAGCATCCCCCTTCCCTTCCCAACAAATGTTCAATTATGCAAAAACAAAATGAATGAATAGATACATTCATAGATAGATTGCAGGGCAAAAACAAGCGTACGCTTTGTATCTGTGCTGTGGTATATTTACACACAATTTGTTTACACAAAAACATAAAAAAAACCCTACAAATTCCAGAAAATTAAGTGAAAAGTGCTCAATTGAAATTCAGATAAAGTTATCTTTAAATGTTTGTAATATTTCGGTCTTTAATTGATTTAATAGCACGATTATACACTCAAATATAGATATTTACATACATACTCGTATATTTATTTATCAATTATCAGATATATATATTTATATATGTACATAAAACGTGGCTTAGCCTAAAATGTTTACAACAATTAAAATCTTACAGCTCTTCGATGGTGATGATGGTAGAGGCCCTGTATGAACTTCCCACTCGAAAAGAATGAGTGATGAATCAGAGCTTGCAAGTCTGATAAACCACTCAAAATATATACGAGTACCAATACTCGTGTATGCAATCGTCGCCGCAAGAGCGAAAGTGTTGTTGCTTTTCGCAAAGGCGAAGACAAACGATGCAAAATTGTTTTTGCCTTCGGGGTTGATCTGTCGGCTGATAAATACGAGAAGGCAAAGCAACACAATGCCCCTCTCTCTCTCTTTCGCTCTTTAGCAGCGATGCTCGTGTGGTCGGTTCAGTCGCGTTCTTGCTGAAGAGGAAAAGAATGAAGGAATGGAAAAACTGCGACTGCGCTGCCCAAAGTGATCGGAGAAACCGAAACGAAGTACCTCTGGGTTACTGGCATCGAGGGTATATTCGATCGTGTGTGCATGTTCATGCAGGGCTCTGGTATACACAGTACTTTTTACAAATTGATTTTTGTTTCGAAAAGAGTTTTTCGCCCACTTTTCGTTGACAACCGGAAATTCGAGTTTGACTACAGGGTATATTATGGGTTGGTTCTGGGGATATTTCTATGTACATTATGCAGCGAAACCAATTCATTGTCTCTTCGGGGGCCTGGGCATGTGACAACAACATCAGAGCTGCTTGGGAGGACCGCTCTCCACGGGATTATTGTCCTCGTCACAGGAGATGTACTTGATTTTCACGCGCTGCCGCTCCCCCAAGCTATTGTTGATGGATAGACAGAGGTTAGAGCTATTATCGTCCGCTGCCGGCTTTTCCATGATGCACTCCACTGCCGTGCGGTTGAGACTGCTCTTCATGGACACCGGCCGTCGGTTGTCCCCCCTCGAGGAGTTGGTGGTCGGCGGCGCCTGCTGGATCTGTGTCTCCATGGTGCTGCGCTTCCACTGGCTCTTGTTTTCGGCTATAGAATGAAAGAAATGCCATGAATGCATACGTGAGAGGAGGGAGCACAGGTACGAGTACCTCTTGTATGACGATGGGAGCTATTTTTGTTCGTCAGACGACTCTTGGGCGAGTCGAAGCGATGGCGGCTGAAGCTCACGCAGCAGCAGCAAATGATCCGTTGGAAGTACATGCGGAATCTACAAAGGATATCCCCCATGAATAAGCCTCTTGTAGTGCCCCCGCCCCCGAAACGTACCTCTTGTTCATCCAATAGTAGATGATGGGATTCACCATGGCGTTGGACATGGCCAGCCAATAGAATCCCAGATACATGTGCTGCACGTACTTTGTGGATGCCACTTGATTATTGTGGTACGCATAGATGAAGAACAGATGGTAGGGCAGCCAGCAGATGGCGAATATCGACACAATCGCTATGAACATGCGTACCACTTTCCGCTTGGATTTCATCGACTCCATCTGCCGGTCCGTGTTCTCGCCAATCGATCGACTGCCCCACAGCACCCGACCCATCAGCGAGTAGCAGATGAGCATCACAATCATGGGTATACCATATGTCAGCACCAATATAATCAGATTATACCTAAAGGAAGGCATTTTACGGACGATATTTTTGCAGATTGCGGGTGGGAATACTCACGTATAGTCCGTCATCGAAGTGGGATAGCGTCCATCCGGCCACATCATGAAGCAAACAGTTCGCGATTTTCCATTATAGTAGCTGTGAATGGTCCCAAATAATCATTTCAATCAATCGCAGCATCAATTTAATTACACAAGACATAAAAAGCCGTAAATTTTCACGCCGGAAATGAAATGGGGAATGAGGAATGGGGAAATGGAAAACCTAATTTACAAAATTATAAAACACTTAATGCCCTCAAAAGAGCCCACGCTTAAGGGCTATTCTCGGGACCATTAACAACATGGCAGACAGGTAATAATTTCGACCAAAACTCTCGACCTCTCAACCCCAGAGATACCCGTTTTGGCTGTCAGTGGCACCCAGCTTTCACCCTCTATCTCTCAATTGATTTAAATGGAAATTTCCTGGACCCGAAGCGTTGAGACCAGGACTCTGCGGTCAGCCAGTAAGCACACGGACTTCGTTGGTGGCACTCAAATATTTGCTTCGTACTCTACAGGGATACGGTTACAGAAACGGGTACGGATACTCGGTAACGAGAACGAATGCATTTGACTGTTCAAACTTTATCTGTGGTCTGTCCTGGGGGTACCTTTTAGTTGTTGGCTGTTCCAATTTTTGTAGCTTCTGGTATTTGTTTCTGTTCCTCTATCATCCGTCATCCCTCGAAATTGGTTATACAATTTTGTGCTCCCCCCACACACACAGGCACACTATCACGTCCGCAGGAGTGTATCTCCTCCCTGTCAGAATACGCCCTCGTTTGACTCTCACTCGAGAGGGCCCCCGCATCTCGTCGCATTTTGATATATGAACTTGCCATCTTTATTATGTCTGAAGTCTGTTGCCTAGGGAGACCTTTTATCCTGGAGTCGAAATAAAAAATGCTTCAATTCTATTAAACAGGACACCCACCGAAAGCGGCAACATTTTGTGTAAAATTCAAATGAGGACTGGGCGCCTATTCGTGGAAGGTGATTTAGATGGATGCTGGATGGGGAGCAGGTATGTAAATTTACATGTACATCAGGAGACGAAACAGCCAAGATCCTAAGCTCCATGGCTTGCCAAACGAGAAAGGAATCTTGTGCTCCAAGGAGGATTAGAGGATGAGAATGGGAACGCATGATGCTGACGCTGGCTGCGTTTTTTGGTGGAAATTACTACTGCCACTTACTGTTTGGTCATGATGCTGGAGTAGAGAAGGCAGGGGGCCGACAGAACGCAGCTTAGGGCCCAGATCATCACCAGAATGAATCGTACCTTCCGACGGGACGTGCGACGCTTCAGCGGATGCACAATGGCGATGTACCTGCAGGCGAAATAGTAACCGGAAACGGAAGTGCCGCACAACGCACAAGATTAGTGGAAAGAATGGAGAAAGGGTAACAGAGAGAGAGAGAGAGAGAGAGAGCGAGGACTTACCTGTCAAAACTGATGGCCACGAGTGTGAAGACCGATGTGGAGACCGTGACATTGGCCACAAAATTATTGATGGTGCAATAAATGGAGCCGAATGGCCAATCGGAGTTCACCATGAATATGAAATTGAAGACACAGTTCAGCGAGGACATGAGCAGGTCGGCGATGCTAAGGTTCAGCAGGAAGTAATTTGTGACCGTTCTCATGCTGCGATGTCCTGCGGAGAGCCAAAAATCGTTTCGGATATTAAGAAGGAATCGATGGGCCAAAGCGGCGTATACGGGATTTTGGTATTTGCAGTTTCCCAAGAGCTTTCAAGCAGCACCTGCGCTTACCTGTTACAATCCAGAGTACAATTCCATTGCCGGCAATGGCCACAAACATCATCAGGCCAAAAACGATGGCCCAAATCGTTTTCTGCTCCCATGGCAACTCGTACGGACGCGTCGGCGATGGAAACAGGCACTCGGTGAGAAAGTCTCTGCAAAAATCACAACAGGAATCAGCAAAAATAACTATAATGTACACTTTTGCAGGGTCTAAAGCGTGGGTCCTTAAAGTATTATATTTTTCACAGTTGAAAGCTCTGCTTCTGGTCTGGTCCGAATGTTTTGGGGGAAAGTTCAATCACAGAGTGCCTGCAACTTTTCAATTGAGAGCCATAACAATAGAAAATCAATGAAGCACTAGCTGGGGCGAAGGGAAAACTTGCCACAAAAGAAACGTCCGTGGCGAAAAATTGAAGGAAGCAGCAGCAGGTCGAGGTCCAGGCCCAGGTCCAGAAGGAACTCCACAAGAAATTGTGTTGTAATTTCATTGGACTGACATCCGTTGGGAGACGGTGCGTGGGGTTAGCAGCAGAAATGAGCAGCAATCGACAGGACAGCCGTCAAAGAGAGACAGATGAGCAGCACAGCACTCCCAATCAAGAAGGGGGAGAGAGGAGCAGCACAAGACTCCCAATCAGGGAGAGAGAGGAGCAGCACAGGACTCCCAATCAAGAAGAGAGTGAGAGAGGAGCAGCACTGATTAGCATGTAAGAGATTATGCTAATCACAACTACTAGCGGTGACAGCAGGACGACAGCAGGATGGCGGATGTTGTCTGTTGACTAATTAATTTCCAGGCAACAGTCTTTGTCGTTGGCTTTCCCTTTGATAACCACTGGACACCACTGGATGGTTGACAAAACCCCACCATTAATTAGTGGCACTTTGTTCGACGACTTATCGCATGCCTCTATCTCGCTCTCTCGCTGTACATGTGTGCCCCATGAGGCATGTGACTGCCAGGGCCGTCACGCAGCAGCAGGACCTAAATTCAATAGAGAGATGCCCCAAATGATGGCCATTGTTCCGATGCGTATATTCCGATATATTCGTAGATTCGTAATTAATTTTAAGTTAACTTTTGCTGCAGTTGCAATTGAATTAGAGCAGAAAAACATGTGATTTATTTGCCACAGTTTTCCCTTATAATTGCTGGCAGGACCACGCACATATGGTTCTGATTCGCTTCGGCTTACAGTTCAATAAACTTGACAAAAAGACAGACAGAAATCCAATGATTGCGGGAGGCCATACAAATTTTTAGGGTTTTTTTTGCTATGAATATGGCTTTTGGCTATTCAACAAGAGAATAAACCAGTAAATGGTTTGGCTTTTTGGGAAAATAAAGCAGCTTCTATTTCTATGAATATTTGTGTAAATAAATATAGAACTATAGAAACCCCTGCAATAAATCAATTTTATTCATAAATCTGTTCGAATCATCTCCAATAGATTGAACCCTCTTCAAGCAATGACTTTACTGGGAATTTGGGCGTGCCGCCCCACAAATGTGGCACAACTGAGAGGCAGAGTCCTGCGGCGTCCAGCAACTTGGGTGTCCATTTCATGGGATACTTAAGCCTCAGTCTGGCTATCATTTGATGGAGATTTTGCTGTAATTTTGCTACTCGCATGTATATCGCATTACGTTCTTGTTATTCCGAGGATAGATTTCCCATTTAATTAGAGGTTTAACACGAACAGAAGGCCTCCTTCGGGAGAAGTACAATCATCATTAAATGGCAGGACAAAGATACTGTTAAATATTCTGATCATTTTCCCTACTTTTATTTGTGATTCAATATTCACGAAAATTAATTAGTTGAGTGCCATGGAAAATGCAAAAATATTTGCATATTCGTGAGCATCCGCAGCCGTTCAATGCATTCCCATAAACACACATCCTTTTGGCCGACATTTTTCCGGTCCTTTTTTGTTTGAAAAGTTTGCCTTTTTAGGGGGGAAAAACTGTCGATTTTTCCACTGCCTTTTTCGATTATGATAATTGCAGCTGTCTGAGGAAAAGAAAGAAAAAGCTTCCTGGCAGATTTATGATCCCAAAGAGAAGCAAAGGAAAAGCCAAGGCCTTGCCTCACTCGAATTTAAGTTGATTAAAGTAATTTATTTTGGGGCCCCTCTGTGCTGGGGGATAATTGAGTTGGATGGCCTTATAAATCCGTGCTAAACTGCCGTTTGTTCCTGTAATAATAATAACCATCTACGAACGGAAGTGTTGCCCCATCAGCAGTCAACTAATTACATCCGTCTGAAGGACCCTGTGTCCTTTCACCCCAAGAACCACCACTACTAATGACAGTGGGGAGCTTCAGTGATTTCCCCGAAGAGCATTTTTGGCCCACAAACAGCATGATATTTTCGCAAATGCAAATTTTTCCACCAATGAAAGGCCCGAAAAAAATTCCTATAAAATTGTGGCGGACAAATTTTTGTTGGCATTGAAACGGAAATGGTTTTTCACGAGAATGTCTGCTTCGATTGGGAAAATGCTGCAAGAACGAATGAAATTCGATTTAAACATTTTTTAAAGACATAGCATACTTTTTAGGGCCCCTTTCAATGCTAATTTTTTCGCCCTCCTTCGTTTCATTGCGCTCTCGAATTATTGATTATATTCATACATATATAGCTAATTATATGGATTAAAATTATCCATCAATCAAGGGGCAATTATTTTAATATTCGCATTTAGCATAATTGAATAAATGTTGAACGAGTACTTATGAATGTTTTATTTCGGTTTTTCAACAGGTTTTTTGTATTTATAAATCAGCTTAAGTTTTTCGATGGCTAATGGATACTGGAAGATTAAAAGGGAATCTTTAAAGGGAAAATTGCGACCATTTCTGTCACGATTTTGGGTGAGGATTGCTAAGGCTTTACTTTGCCTTCACTTAGACATTATCGATCCCCAAACAATCGAGTCTTTAAATGGAAGATTGAGACCATTTCTCTTACGATGTTGTGTGAGGATTGTTGAGGCTTTACTTTGCCTTCATTTAGACATTATCGATCCCGACTAAATTACGTGCTAAATGCTTCTTTGATCGATGCAAATCAAATTAAAAATGAATCAGCAATTACCGGAGGGAGGGGGTCGGCATCAAAGAAATTATCATCAATTAGAGGCCTGAACCATAGGCAATTTCCTGTCGAGTGGGGGCTCGAATAAATTGCCAGTCATTTGCCGAAGAGTCAATGAAAAGGGTTCTCCCTTTCCTCTCTAACTCCCTTCAGTACTCAAAAATGTAATTCGTTACCATTAGCCCTGCTAATAGTTGTTGTTGCTGGCCCTTGATGGGTGGTGGCTGCCACATTTCGTGCTGCGAAAACTGTCAACAATTTTCCTGTTGCCGCAGTTGTGACTCTGCATTTCCCTGCTCGCTTATTATTTTCCTCTGCATATTTTATGCATCGTAGGGAAACCAGCGATGCAGACCAAATTGGCGGTCTTCCATCTACCTGGCTTCTGAGCTTTCGATCTACTGCGCAAAGTGGAGAGAGGGGAAGAGGGATAGGGGGAGTCCCCCCACTTTGGAGTGCATCAGGCAGGTGGAAACAGTGTTCATAGTTTTGCTGCTTCTGCTGCTGCTTCTGGCCAAAGTTTAACAACTTATGGCCACTGCCGGCGTCACGTCCTTCGAAGGTGCTCTTCCCTGGGCCATAAATATTTTTGTTTATCGATGCCTAATCTTTAGTCTTCAATCATCATTTAATACATCATCTTAATCCTCGTAGTCATAATCATTTTCATTCACAGCCCAGTCCCTTGGCAGCCATAAAATACAGAAAGGACACTCTCACAAATGAGTTAATTTCCCATTTAAAGATTTATTAACACAACACGAGAGGTGGTCCACTTGCTCCCTATCACTCTGGTGCAACACTTGACCCAAGGATACCATGTTGCATGTTGCTGTGTGCCTCTTCATCGAGTGGCCATTAAATTTTCATACTGCCATTCGAATATCTGTTTCATTTGCATTCGTGTATCGCAAGTTGATGCCTTCCTCTGCCTATGCCTCTGCCTCTACCTCCTCTTTAGCCTGCTCCTGTGGCGCCTCTTCATTTGCAGCTACTGCTCTTGTTGCACCTCCTGCCACTCTTTGGCCTCCTCATTTGAGGCCTCCTCTACCTCTGCTTCATTGAGGGCCCCCTCTACCTCTCCATCATTGCGGTCCCCTCTACCTCTCCCTTATTGCGGTCTCCTCTACTTCTCGTTCATTACAGTCCCCCCTTCGTTGGGCACCAGTCCTCGTGTTTGGGTGAGAAAAAAGATAATTGAAAAATTTGTCATAAGCAAATTGCTAAACTGCAACACTGCCCCTCCCTCCTCCTTTCACTTACTGCCACATCCCCAAGAAAACAAGGACTGGCCAAAGAGCACATTATAATAGACAAAACCCATTCCAGGGAAAGCCCCTTGAGTGGTGGCCTCATCCGAGAGATATATCGAGTCATCCTTCTCCTTCTGGCTCTTCTGTCCAGGGCCTAATCCAAACAATTTCTTTCGATTTTCATCCGGAATGTACGAGTCGAAGGACTCTGTCCAAGGGGTATTGCCGTTTCGACAGGCGGTTGACTGAAGGCACAAAGGGATGTTGAAAGCCCAGAGCCCAGAGTTTCCATCGGAATTGAAGCCAGAAGATTGCAGAAGACTTTACTAACTTTTGAACTATAATTCTGAAGCTTTTTATATAACCTTTCAGTGCATTCACCAGTCGTGGTGCCTGGGCCACTCTTATTTTTATGTGTTCCATCCATTCTGATTGGATTTGAGCCTTGCCATAAAAATGCCAAAGCCCCGCCGCCCGCCGCCCACCGCCCGGCGCCCTCCGCCCATATCCTGATGGACGCAGCAGCACAGTGGGAAGTGGAAACTGGGAAATGGGAAGAATGGATGGCAGGATGAGGACTAATGTCCTGTGTCCTTTGTTCCGGCGTTATCATTGGCTGAACATCGGAATCAATAAGCGTATGAAATGCCATAAACATCATCGAAAGGGAAAAAGGGTAAACTCTCCTTTAAATTGACTTTGTAATAAACTTTGTCCATCCATCGGTTGCTGGTGCTACTTACTGGCATTCCGTATACGCGGTGTGGACATGGCATCTACGTCATTACGTATAAGCCTTGCACGCCCCATGGACATGGAACCCGTTGCGTATACGCACCGTTGACAGCCACTCATTGGAGGACACAAACCCATCGCAAAGTGACTGCCAGAGCTGCTGCTGTCAAGCTGTTCTTGCCATACATAATCCATGGGCCGTGTCCAAGACGCTTTGGCCCTGATTGAACCCACTCCAAGTCATGGGGCATGGGGCACGCACATATAATGAGCTTAAGCGGAGGAGACGACAGTTCACCTGCTGCCCAAAGGCCTGAATAAACAAATGTCCTTTTACTATAACTCCTGCCACTCATAAAATCCCCAACGCTCTTCGAAAAACCATTTCCAATGGCATTTTCTTTCTCTGTCAAAGTTTCTTTTTCCATTTGTCTGAATTTAATTATTTGTGAGGTTCTCTCCCTGGCTTTTCCCGCTTTCTTTCTTTGTTTTTTGTCACCTTTTCAGAGCCTTTCGGAGCAAAACAATTAGTGGAATTCTTGTGTCTATTTTTGCGCCCAAAGCCCCAACGGCTTATGGTGGCCCTTTGCTATTTCTCGATGCAAACAGAATAATTACATAAAAATAGCTGAGAATTCAGTGGGGGGATCTCTCCCTAGAGAGGAGGGGCTTTAAGGATGTAGCAGTACAGGGAGTGGGCTTTAAGGATGGTCTTTTTGGATGATTCCCGTTCCAGGAAAGTACGATGATGATGATGGATATTGTAGTTTCATAATTGTTGAACATTCTTCAATGGAATCATGATTCAAAGGTGGTTTTATGCTCTTCTAATTGGAAGCCTTTGAGGGCCGCCTGAACAGACATCAAGAGAGCAAATGGGGGAAATCAGAAGGGAAAAACTTACTAATTGCAATCGTTTGTAGTGAAAGCCATAACCAGATGTCTGTTCCATGCAATGAAAACTCAAAATGCAGCAAATATTGATTGCTTTAGTTTCGGAAAAGCTGTCAAAACCAAAAGAATTTTCCGACATCCAACAATACGTATACGCCCCCTCGTCTATGAAGTAGATTATTTCGAAAAAGTCAAAGTTTAAACTGCAAAACAGGCATTTAATTTCCACTTCTTTCTGCAAAGCAATTCAATTTTCATTTGCCAAGGCTGCTCCATACCTCCCAACCCACTTTCAGAGAGCATCCTTCGACAGGCAACATTCGAATGTGAAAAACAAAGTAAGAGCTTAATTAGCCAGGACCAAAACAGAGCCGAACCCGTACACGTATCAAATTCGATTCGAATAACAAGTGAAGAACATTTATTATGCTTGTTTTTCGAGGAGAACCTTTAAAGGTTTTCACTTTGTGGATGATTCCCGTTGGCATGGCATTATTAATGGCATGGAAAGCGGTTTAAGTTCTTGGTCAGCCGAAAATAATTACACCGATTAAGGGATATTTCCATGACCAAAAGATTGTACTGCTCTGCGCTGGTGTTCAGCCTTTCACATTTCAAAAGCCGCCTTAATGAGTGCCAAACGAGGAGATATTTTAGACTGTCGGCAATAAGTATGCACAAGTGGCAAAACCATCAATTAAATTGCAATTTTCAATGCTTAATGTTTGGGGCCAAAGGCTCAAGTATTTGGTAATAAGATTACGCTGGAAATAGTTGAAGTGGCAGCTTAGGAAATTGTATATTGCACACGCTGCATTTTACCACATTTTACCAGAATTCCATGCCAAGCAAACACTTGAACCCCAATTAAAACTATCATCTGGAGCTCTTGTTTGATAGCCTGACAGAGCACGTCCCTTTGCCAGGTGCCATAATGAGCAGCAGCACAGACGACTGTCTGTCTGGTGATGGGGGGGAAAACTTTATTCAATTCAGCCCCCCCCCACGCGACAACTCTTCCGTTTCATTTGCATAACTTTGTTAGCCAGAATGGTGGGGATGGGGGTGGGGGATGGGGGGAAAATACCAGGAAATAAGTTAATGAAAAGACGGCGGGCTCTGCCACTCACTTTGCCTCGTCGATGCTCTCGAGATTGTCGCGGTTCTCGATGAATCCCGCCAGCAGGCTGACCACCTCCGTGCGATTGAAGCTATTCAGGAGCGTGGTATTCACGATGCTGTTGAGCTCGAAGCGCCGCACCGCCAGGATGGTGCAGTTCACCAGCAGCTCCGTGTCCACAATCTCCGACATCTTAAGGACTCTGCGACTGCGACTGCGACTGCGACTGTATTTATGTTGCGCAAGGACTCCCTCACGTTTGTGTGTACTTAAATGCACTGGCTGATCCCTGGCCAACTTATGCCACACCTAATGCCATAGAAACCTTTTTGTCGTTGCCCATGCACCGTAATTACTCCTCCTTTCTGTCTCTCTTTCCGTTAATGTCCTGGGGATTTCTTTTGTGGGAGGTCTTTCAATGGATTCCACGCGGGTTGTGCCCGGCCAGCACCACATCAGTGGCTTGGAGGCGTTTAATTTGAGGGGCGTTGCACGTTGCACAGCCTGGGGCAAGGCGGCGCCATGGCATCGAGGGGAAATGTTATTCAATTAGTATATTACGTACACGCACTTCACATCAAATATTTAATAATTCATATATTATGCCATTAATTCCATTTCGGCTTAAAAACACCTTTTTAAATTCACACGAAAATATATATGATATATCTTAATTATTTCAGGTCTCAGGAGTTGATTAAATTTCCATATTGGTTTCAGCTGGATTTAATTCATAATTTAAACATTAATCACATTCAATCTCTTTTTTTAAAATAATTTATTAATTTTTTATTGTATTTCTTTTTCTCTTTTTTCTTTGGGAAACCACTCGAACTCATATTCCATTACAAAAACATTATATTTATCCAATAATGCCGCTCGATTTAATCCAGCTTTTTATCACTTTAATTTCATAAAAATTCTCCGTTTTTTCAATATTTTTTTTAGTTGCTTTCATTGCTTTTTTCTATGATTAAAATCTGTTGATATTTTCACCCTTTCCGTTTTTTTTGACAATTTATTTTTAAATGCAATCTTTTGTTGATTCGCTGCACTTTTTATGCACCACTTTGAAATTTTTTGGCCCTTTTTTTATGGCCCACACAGACACACAAGCCGACCGTTAGAGCTTTAAAATGGCGTCGGATGTTAACAGTTGTTTCGTTTATTGTTTTCGTGTTTTGTGCGCGCGTTCTTTAGTGCTGCAAGTGCCGCCGTCGACTGAGTTACATATACGACCGTAGGAAGAACAAAAGGAATACGCAGGGGGGGGCGGGCAGGGCAGCACGCAACCTGTTGAGAGGACAACTGGCGGCAACATTACTCCCTTGGCAACATGTTGCAGCAGCTTTTATGGCAACCTAACAGTCTCTCTGTTTTTGTTTTTCTTTTAAAAATCACCTGAAGACCTTTTTGAATGGCCCGCCCATTCCTGGAGTACAAAAGATATCCGAATGCTGGACATTATTTTTAGTGTCCTTGCAGGACACGGAGTGCTCTCTGAGGTCAATATCCTGTTGGGAACTCCTTGGCTCTTGATGCTCTTTTGGCGCCAGATCTGTCGCTAGCATCTGCCATAAATAAATCATGGTTTTGTTACATCAAGGGGGTGTCCTAACTCTATTATCCTTTGGCTGTAACTTTGTTTACTTCTTTTACTTGTTACGCTGCCGCTTTTCTGCTGCCACGAAATAAATTTCAAGCACCGTGTTGTCATGATGAATGACCTGCAAATGAGTGCCAGAGGGGACGCGAGACACGAGCACAATGGCCACTCCACTTCAAGGTCTCTGAATGTGAAGGATTTCGATGGTATGGTTTGGTGTATGTGTGTGGTTATTGTACCCTGTACTGAGTACTAGGGAATAGAGGGGTATATGGGTGGCATAGATATGGAAGCTTATAAGTGTTAAATCAACCAAAGGAAGGAAAGAAGAGAGCAGGAGAGTAGGGGATTTAGCAGAGAGACAGTGAAAAAGAGTGAAGCACACTCCTCTCTCTCTCCCACTGTGTCTTAGCATCTGTATATGTTGTAATAGCATTCCCAAAATCCCTTTCTCTGGTGATTTTTCATAGAAATGATATTGAAAAACCTATTGATGTCTCCCAACAACTCCCAATACATCCATACCCTATTATATTTGTCTTCCCATTATGCCTTTGGCTTCTCTGAATACAGGGTATCCCCTAGCCGTAAGCTCGGTTACAGCCCTCTCTTAGAAACGTTGTTTGTTGTATTTTTGTGTTTGCTAATGTCTGCAAATGTTGTATGTCTGACTCCCCCTGGGAACCCCCTCCATATCTCCTGCCCTCCAGCGTGATGCGTGCGTGGATATATTTGCACTTTTGTGTGATTATGACTGGACATTTGGCGTGGCCTCCCCCAGTTTTCACAGATAGACAGATACACATGTAACTAGGAGCAGAGGCCCCCCCCCACTCTGAGGTCCAGGACCAACACACCCACACACGAACGCATACGAGTGTTATATGCATTGCCATGTTTAGGTTTTTTTTTACGATTCAGTTTCATTTAGTTTATGACTCTGTGGCCCCGCCCCCTTTCAGCGTACGAGCCACTCATTACGCCCTAAACATATTTCTGCACATTTGTTGGGGGCGAATGGGGTGGGAGGAGTATTCACCGCGATTTATGCATGTTTATTATGATAAATTTATGCGCATTTGTTGTTCCCTGGCGGTTTTTATAGAGTGTGCGAAAATAGAAGCCCTAAAAAAATCCCAAAGGGAATTGTGGATAAAAATGTTAGTAAAACATTTATGCATTAAGCAGACTTTTAGGCAAATTTATTTCGAGTGGGAGGGGGATGAAAGGTAGGCACCCCGACAACCAGGATAAAACTATGAATATAAAACAATAAAAAAGAAAAGCCTACACTAAGAGAAAAAAGAAAATACGCCCATAAACATTCGGTAAATAAATAGCAGAACAAGCCAAAGGCTGGCCGAGAGCCGTTTGGATGGTGAGGATCGTGTGGATCGTCTGGATCGTGTGGATCGTGATAACATCGTGTGCAATCTCAGAACGCGCTGTAACTGGCTGTTAACTGAGAGCCGCTAGCGATAACAGGCTGTTAACTGAGAGCCGGCAGAGATAACAGGCTGTTAACTGAGAGGCGTCGGAGATAACAGGCTGTTAACCTGGGATGCTAACAGCGCTGTTGCTCTGTTACAGGTGTCCCCCTGATTTTTTCTCTGCGTGTAGACGTGAAAAAGGAGAACGAAGAAAGTATAACCCCACCCCAAAAGCAACATGTGTCAATTATCGCTTGGCTCTGTTTTGATAGCATGAGAACTGGGCTCCATTCAGTAGAAGGGAGTATCATATGTCCGCGTTGCGCGTTGCACTAATTGTGGGAAAAGGGGAATATCATATATCAAGGAGTGTCTTTTCAACCAAAGCGAGTGTTGTTTTTTTTTGCAAATTGTGCAAATTAATTGATGACCGCAAAAGAATAATTAACCAGATACACACACACGCATATAGGGGGAGTTTTTCTTTTCAGACAGCAGCAAAAATTAATCAAAGTTACTTTCTGTTTCTGTCTGCGTGTGATTAAAGTGTAATTAAGTTGAATTAACCGCATGGCAGAGTCGATAGCGTTGATTAATACATATTTCGCATTTGCGGTTATCCTCTGACCCGTCTGACCCCTCCGCAGGGCGAAAAGCTAAGGCCAGAACAGCAGAAGTTTTCTCAGAGGAGGATTTGGAGCAGGAGGAGACTTTTAGGCCAGTGATTGCTCTATATCGACCTTCAGGAATACCGAAAATATAAACGCAACTGTTGAATGTGGTAGGAATTAGGCGTATAGAAACAGTAGAGAAGCACTAGTACTCACTGCTCATCAGTGCCACCAGCCACAGGAAAGGGGCAGGGCAGTTGATTTGCATGAAAACCGGCAGTAATATGTTGCCAGCCACCGAACCCAGTCGCCCAAAGGTCATAATCAGCAATATAACCATTGTTCTGTGGGTGAGAAAATCATTTAAGCCGCGTTTGTGGGGATGTGGGGGATGTACGCACCTCATTAGCGTGGGAAACATTATCACAGATATACCAATAATCGTTGTGGCACAGACACCCATCATTGTCAGATAAACAGCGGCAATGATCATGGTGACCAGCGAGGTTTTGGCGAAATACAGACTACCCGCAAGGAAGACGCATATGAAGAGGAACACCTCTGTGGAGCAGAGAAGATTAGAGACCGTAGAGGGTCAAGGGAGGGGACGCACTCAATATGTGATTCGCCACCAGGGGTATGCGCATCAGGGGAAAGATGATCACGAAACCCACGACGCCGACGGCTGCCACAATGATGTTGTCCGTGTAGATGCCCGGGTTCTGGTGCTATTCGTTTCGGGGGATTAGATTAGATTTAAAGCCTGGTAGCCCGGGGCAATCGATAGCCTACCTACTAGGTCGCATTCCCGCTGCATCGACGCCGAGTCCATGCTCCGCACCTGGGAGTTGTGCTCCAGCACGTTGCACATGCTGGTGTCGTTGATGCCCTGCAGCTCGAACGTGTGCATGGTGGCAAAGATCTGTGGCAGCCACAGGCGCACAGAGTTCACGCACATTATTTGGCAAAAGTGCAGGCAGTAGACTTGCAGGGAAATGCACAGATAGGGACTGGAAAACATGGGCTTCAGCTGCCCCACGCCCTCCCAGAACTTGAGTTTTGCTCTGCTGAAGCGCTCCCATCGCGAGGTGGGCTGTCGCGGTCGATCCAGGACATCGGAGCGATCGGGCGTGGCATCGGTCAGATGTTTCACCTGTGGAGAGGACAGTGCTTAGAGTTTTACTTTAAGAAACCCTTGACAATCTCTTACAGGATACGTTTCGCGCTTCTGGCGCTTGTTCATCGCGTATATCCGCTGCAGGGACTCCAGGGCTTTGTTGTAGTTCCCTTGGGCCATCAGAAACTTGGGACTTTCGGGCAGAAAGATGTGCAGCAAGCCGCTGGTTAAGCTGGGCAACGCAGTGACCATCAAGAAGATCTGCCAGGTGTGGACTGCCAAAGAAACGAAAGAACTCAGAACGAGGCTCCATTCGAAGGGGAGGCCATACCCACAGTTCATTTTTCCCACTGAGAAAAAGATGTGCACTGGCAGGAGGAGGTAGGCGAGTATCGGGACAAAGGTGGCCGAAGCGGAAACGCAGAGACCGACAAAGAGCATGATATAGGGCCGATGCTTTTTGCCATGGAACTCTGCCAGATAGCTGACCAGCACCGCAAATGGGCCGCAAATGCTGTTCGAAGGAGAGAACTCATTAGCAAATCGATGGGGCAGTCGATGAATGGTTCAGTGTACATTAGGCCATCCAAGAACTTGAAGACCATCAGCTGCGTGGAGTCCTGGCAGAGGGCGGCGCACAGCACGAACAGGCCATCGATCCAGCCGCCCCAAATGAGGACCACGCGGCGACCCATGGTGTCGGCTATGAAGCCCCAGGGTATGGCCGAAATGATCATCCCGGCAAAGGTGACAGCATTGAGAAGACCCTTGTCCAGGGGCGTCAGCTTCAGGTCGCATTCAGCGGTGGGCATCACATAGGACATCGCCGAGGCGGAGAAGACCATGGCCATGAGGCAGGGAAGAGCACAGAACAGCATGAGGATATTGAAGAGTCCGAAACCGCATTCCGCAATGGCCGTCTCAAAGTCTGCTGCAGTATGTTCAAAGTCCTTTTTGGAATCGGCCATCAATAACGAATGTATAGGAATATCCAGCAAATGTGTAAATTTTAACAACTAATGGCAAGAGCTCCTGGATATCAGAGAAATAACGAAACACATTTCAACATCAGGGGGCAAGAATCACTTGAGTGTTCCCATGAAGAGGATCTGCCCTCACGAATCATCGGAGCGAGCAATCTAATAAATCGCTGCCACCTAAGGAGGGCCTGCCGTCGGATTAGTTGATTCAGGCATCACTAATTTCCATCTTCCAACTCAATGTTTTCCCAGTAAGAGAGCCACACACCTGACTGCCACACCAGCACTGCCTGCCCTGCCACAGTGCCTGCCCCGCCCCACTGCCTGTTGCCTGTTGCCTGTTGGCTTCCACTTAATTGGTGTTAATGAGATTTGCATGTCGAAGGCTTGCCTTTGTCCTGGCCCAACCAGCACATCCTTTCACTGAACAAAGCAATAAAGATACGATACGAGTATGCAGATAAATACATATGTATGTATATTTGAATGGGTTTTCCTAAGGTAAATATAAATAGTTACAGACATTGTCTTAAGCCCCCAATAATTGCTAATTTGTACAACTAAATTTTCCTAAGATTAAGTTACAATTCAGTGGCAGCTTCAACCACTTGATGTGTCCTTAAGCCATAATTTAAACACAATTCCTTAAGAAAAGGCAGCCTTTGCCGGATTGGGCACGAATATGGAGAGTGTGCCAGCCACTGAAAGAAGAAAGAGAGATAGACCCATATCTGGGAAGACGTAATCTCAAGTGGAAAACTTACACAGCAGCACCGATGATACCATTATAAAGGGAGGCAAACAACCGATCTGAATGAAGACCGGAAAGAGCAGATTACCCGACAAGGCACCAAAGCGGCCGCACATCATGGCTATGGCCACGACAACAGTTCTGAAGGGAAACAAATCTCTATGGAGATTACAGACAACAGATTGTAAGGGGAACACTCACCTGAGTTGGGTGGGAAATAGGGCCACCACTGCACCCAACAGAGAGGAGACTGCTATGCCGGTGATGGTCAGAAATGTGGCAGAGACGAAAAGAGTCATCATGCTGCTGACCGAGAAGTAAAGCAGCATGCCAAATGCTCCAGAAAGATACAGACCATAGGCTGAAGGCAGAAAATCCTCAATCAATAATATAAGGAATAAATAAATGTGTAGAAATACTTACTCATCAGACGTTTGGGGCCTAATGCCTTCAGAAGGCCACCCGCAAAGAAGTAACCAACGAAGCCGCAGGCCGAGACAATGATGTTGTTTATATACATGTCCATGGAAATCTCCTTTGGCTGCAAGACAGATCACAGATGGGAGACGAGAGTTAGATAAAGTTAGAGAAAGGTTTACGTCACTCTCACGATGATTGGACATAAAGTTAACTGACAGATAAGTCTTATCTAGCGCAGAGTTGGAAGATAGATCTTACCTGGGAACAGGCATTGGCGTAATCTAAGGCAGTCTCAGCTGTTTTATTGACGCTAAACTCGAGAATGGTGCACATGCTGGCAGTGGCCCCACTGAACTCCGCCTCGTACTCCGCCATGGAGGCAAACAGCTGCGGCAGCCACAAACGGATGGTGTTCATGCCCAGGAAGATGCTGAATTGCATGATGTACAGCAGCAGGGAGAGGCTGAGCAGGGGCTTGTGAGCCAGAGGCTTCATTTGGCCAAAGCCAGCGCGGAGACTCTCCATCAGAGTGCGCGACTGAGGCTTCTGCGGCACTTTCTCGCCGGTTTTCTCCTCAATGGTGTAGATGACCTCGTCCTGGTTGGCCTTGCGATTGGGCGCCTCTTGCACGAGTACCTTGATCTGCAAAAAAGAAGAGTTTAAGCCGCTATAGGCTTTTTCTTCTCTGGTTTGAGGATACTCACTGGATAGGTATCCTTGGGCTTGCGCGTATTCACATGATAGATATGCTGGAAGGCCTGCAAAGCCTCCTCCGTGCGTCCTTGGGCCATCAGAAAGCGTGGACTCTCTGGCATGGCACAAAATATCAAACCACTCACAAGACTTGGGATGCCCAAGACAAACAAAAAGATTTGCCAACTGTGAACTATGGAACATCAGAATTAGTAGTGTTTAAGGATACGCCGGGGATACAACTTACTTGTGAGACCCACGATTTCAAAGTCCCAGTCCCTGGGAAAGATGCCCCAGGCCAGCAGAGGCAGTGAGACGGTTGCCGTGGATGTAACCATCCCAACAATCATTAGAACTGAAGATCTGTGCTTGGGTCCATGCATCTCCGTCAGGTAGGTAAACAGAACAGCTGCGGGACCATTTACCCTATTAAAAGAATGGATTTCTTTCAGTAAAAACCACAAAGAATGGATCATGGAAACCTACACTAATCCACCGAGAAACTTGAAGACCACCAGCATCATAAAGTTCTGACTGAGCGCACTGCCAAAGACACAAACGGCATCGATCAGGTAGCCCCAGTAGAGGATCTTCTTACGTCCTTTGGTGTCGGCCAGATAGCCCCAGGCAATGGCCGATATGGTCATGCCGGCATAGGCCACCGCATTCAGGACACCCTTGTCCTCGAGAGTCAGACGGAGATCGCACTCGGCCACCGGCAGGATAAACGACATGGAACTGGACTCGAAAATGGCCGCACTCTGGGCGGGTATCGAAACGAAGAGCAGCAGAAGATTGAAGATCCCGAAGCCAGCCGCCTCGATGGCCTTATCGAAGTCCGCTGGTGCATCCTCTTTGGGCGTGGGTGAGGCCTCAGCCGTGCTGTTCGAATCACCATCCGTGTCGTTGTCCACGTCTGGTTCTGTAACCCAAAAGATTTATACACTTGTTTTAATTGCACTTTATGGTTGGGGACGGGACAATCTCTCCCTTCTTTGAGATTAGGGGAGCACTTTGATAATACTAGTTCCCAAGCTGTACTCTTCACAATCTGATCATTGTATAGGTTTTATACCACCATATTGTTTTGGAACGTGTAATAGAGAGTTCCAATCACTTTTAAAAACAAAATCTATGATGAATTGGCATTTTATATTTAGTTCACAATTTATTTTCACTAGTTCCTTTGATATTTTGGGCTTGTTCCATTCGATTTAAGGATTTACCTTTACTTTTCGCTGGATCCACACGTTCAATATACTTTTCCGACATCTTTATGCGTATATCTGCCGATCACTGTATGAATTTCTTATTAAGCTGCACTTGAATGTTCTCAATTGTTCAATTAATACGATGTATGAGTTCTTAATTGAAAAGCACTATCACAATTAATCTCAGAGGTCGTAGAGAAGATCCCAGTTCACGGATGATGCCACTTGCTGCACTGCTGCGCGGTAAATGATCTGCTCGTACGAATGGTAGCTGCTTTTATCGGGATTTGTCTCAATAAAACCTGAAGATTCATCTACACATCTCTTATCGCCTAGAATTACAGCCTAAAGAAGGTAATAAACACATAAAACTTTATCTTTATCCGGAGGGAACACGTTGTCATAGAGGGAGACAAGTACAGTGCGTTGGAAAACTATATATCGATTCATCATGATTCATGAAGAAGCACTTAATTATGAAAACACTCTTTATTCCACATTTTTCTAAGGGTTTCCTAATCGTTAGAAATATCCATTCTGAAATCTTAGTCTATGGTTATATTATAATGTAACGCGCTGTACTGGTGATAAGACTATGAGGTAGGTAGCAACCGGAACACTTTTCGAGGGAGGCTGCCTCAAATAATGTTCTCTTCCATATCCATGATTATCCCTTTCTAAAACAATATCACGTTTCATTGGCTACGTCATTTCGGTGGTGAAATCTGTAGAGATACACACCCCTTATCTCAAGATACGCCGCCACACGACAGAGAAGTGATATGATCTCTCGTAAAATGTATCACTCGAATGACTAAACAGTTTCAATCAATGTGAATGGAAGAATCTTTAGTTGCAGGAATTAATCGCAAGGCATGTAATATACGATTATCATCACAAAACAAAAACTATGTACTTTATTCTTAGGGGTCTATAAGGTGCTATAAATATGGGTGCTATAACTTCGTGCCATTCACAATGACCAGTCTTCCTTCAATCATCATTCTGGCCTGCAATCTCATTCGATGCCATCCACCAGCTTGCACATCATGCGATCATGCTGATAGCTCGGATCGTTCTTGGCCGCCGCATTCGATTCGAGGGGATCCACTTCCGACTTGACTTTGGCATTGCCCTTCTCATCGTCGTCGCACAGGACAGGCAGGGCGGAAAAGGCGCTGTTTACGATGTCCCGCACACGCTCCAAGTGCTTCTGAAAACGGGTGGCGGTCTCCACACGCTGACGCTTCTGCATTTCCATCATCACGCGCAGCGTTTCACGGGCCTGATGCGGCCGAAACTCGTTCAACAGGTGATGCATGTTGACGAACAGCAGGCTAAGGTCATCTATCTGCAAAGGGGTTCATTTATCAAGATTAATCCATGGATTTGCCTGGTTCTGGTGCCAACTCACCTTCTCTGTTCGCCGGGGACTGTCGGGATTGAGGATGAGGAAGTCTATCAGATCCAGAAAATTTACCAGCAGCGAGTGGTTCAACTTTTTCAGCTCCTTGCGACGGTCAAAGTGTATGGGTATCAGGCGCTTGATGTTCTGCGACTCCAGGGAGCGTATCATCTCGTCATTGTTGTACTGGATGCCGAACATACTGTAAACTTCGTGCTGCGAGGGGGGCAGCGGTGGACGTGGTGCGCGATTGCGGCGTATGTTCTCCTCCGTGTAGTTGCTGATGTACCGCTCCGGCGGCATCGGCAGGCTGGATACCTGGGTCTCTTGGGTTGACATTCTGAGCGGTAAAAAGAGTAGAGAGAGTCCTATTCCTTATGTCTGTTTATCCCGAATTTTCAAAATTTCCTCGAGCAAATTTCTGCAGTCTTTTGTTTTTGTCAATGTGACCATTTTCTGTCTTCACATAAATCGACTCTCAGAAATATACCGTCTCAATTTCGAAATATACCGTAAATATACTAACGAATTCAAGTTATATTTTACATATTCCTCGATTTTGATCTTCCGTCGAATATTACTAGCTAGATAAAACATTTAGCCATGCCCACATAATTGTATCCGATTAGTGAATCTATTTTTTAATTGACAGGCTTATTCTTAATACTTGCTTTAATTGGATTTCATTGAAAATTAAATTTAATAGATTGATGAAATAGATTGACTGCATAAATCCCTAGTGCCAGCGGGTACCGAAATACCAAATACCGAAAACACACTAAAAATACCGATTTTCGATATATATTTAGATATATCGGTATAACCACTAACCATACAGTATATAGATGTGCCAGTTCATACAACGAAAGCGTCACACACTGGCTAGCGCGTTGCGTACCCCAGAGTGACGTCATCATGAGAGAGAGAGCGCAGAGAGAACATCTTTGCATGTGTTAGTACACACGCAATATGTTTCGACAAAAATATGTGATTGTATGCTTTTTCAGATTTTTTGAACTCTCTCAGGTCTGGTTCTGTTTTGCCACCAGCATGTTTTAGTGTATGGGTGCACATGCATTCTCACGTACTTTGCGTGTGTGTGTTTACTATTGCTGGCCGCTAGAACTGAAATTTGAGTTTGGTTCTTGTTTCGGGTCTTTTGATGGACTGACCTACCGCCACAAAATAAATGAAGAATGGGCAGGGGGTGGGGGTATGGTACACTAGGGCGCGGGAAATAAAATAAAAGCTGTTATTTGTTTGATTTATACCACAAAATATAAAATATTACAATAATATAATTACACATTTATTTCCTTATTTCAAACAGGATTATTATAAATTATAAAAATTATGCAAACGCCGTCGGTTCTCGACTTTTTTGTTTATTATAACTAAAACAATGCTGTATCTAAATATACAATATAAGAAAAAATATATATATACTTAAATAAATATGCATAAATATAAATGGAATTGGTTTTACATATATTTCAAATCAATTGTCAATCGCGCGCTTTCCGACGGGAATCTGCAAAGCAAAAATTTAGATGCCGGTCGCACCTTGAATACTCTCTTGGACAATACCCATAAATTTTCTAATTCAATTATAAAATATCTTATGTACATACATATGTACATAAAAAATAAAGTTTATTACATTCGTATATTGCATGAGGGTTTTCAAAATTACTGTTGTCTTGATGTCTTGGTGGCAAGCTTCTTAGAAAAGTGTTAGTACTCTTAAAGGGCTCGTAAGTGTGTGTGAGTATGAATGCGTGGAATGATGGATAGACAAAAAGCGCGCGCGAAGCTTGTGAGAAAGACAAGTGATTCGTTTTTCCGCTGGTACGTTGTGTTTATTCCCCATTAATATTATGAGTTAATGGCTGACCAAAAAAAAAGAGAGAATGGCTTTAAAAAATTGAAAGATCGATTTTTTGCCTTAAAAAGGGTTGTATATCGCAGGAATAGGCGTTACAGAATCAAAACAACTAACTTAAAACCAAATATTATTCCCATAATAGCCAAGATGACTCATGTTTCTGCTGAGGCAAAAATGATATGTATCATGATTTTAAAAAAGACATTGAGCTATAGCCCCGCAGAAAAAGTAATTGCGAAAAATATTAACTTTTACTCGTCAAGGACTTATGAATATCTTCGAGATGTTCTAAATTTAAAACTGCCATCAAAACGCACGTTAGCGCGATGGGCTGTGCTGAAAAACATGAGGCCAGGATTTAATCCTGATTTACTCAGCAATTTAAAGACAATTTTTGATGGAATGAGTTCTAAGGGAAAAGAAGCAGTAATTTTATTTGACGAAATTAAGATTAAGATTGCACTCGATGAAATTCAAGGCTACAAAAATGATGGCCAAAATACAAAAAGCCTTTTAGGGCAGCAAGTCTGTGTTTTCATGATAAGAGGCCTATTTGAAAACTGGAAATACGTTTTAAGTTATACTGTAACTGCTGGTATAAATGGTATAAAACACGAAGCCCTTTTAAATAAAGTGACGGCTAATATTGAACAAGCACAAGCCTTAGGCACAAGGCTTAATGTACGAGCAGCTATTTGCGACCAGGGCTCAAATAATAGAGCTGGTTTCAGAAGACTGGGAGTCGACATTAAGAACCCCAGCTTTAAAGTTCAAGATAAAGAAAAATTTGCGATTTACGATGTTCCACATATGATTAAATCGCTAAGGAACATTGTCCGAAATAGAAATCTTTATACCCCTGATGTCGTTGTTTCATGGAAAATAGTCGAAGAACTGTATGAAATCGATTCCAGAAATTCAACGCGACTCTGCCCGAAAATAACAACAAAGCATATATATCCAAATAGCTTTGAAGGTCAAAGCTGCCAATCAAGTGTTTAGCCATAGTGTGGCCGCTGCTCTTCGAACAATGATTAGTTCTGGAGGCTTCTTAAAGTGCAAAGAAAATGCAGTTTGACCAGGTAGGAGTATATTTTTACACTGATCTAAAACGCAAAACTTATAAAAATATTTTTTCCGCTATGTTCGACACGGGCAGCGCCGTTAATATTGTGAGAGCTTCATCATTACAATTCCAAAACTAAAAAATACACTCTTTTACCATCGAACCTCCGTAGTGTCAGCGGCTCACTTCATTTCACTTACGGTTGCCGCCTCCCTCCATGTGACACTGAAGTTTTCAGTGGGGACTACCAGCAGTTACCCACGTTCCGAGCCCTGTTCACCGCCATCTACATAGAAAACCCAAAGTTGGCTCCAGTGGAAAAACTGTTCCACCTCAACAAAAAGACCAGCGGTGAAGCCCACGACATAGTGGCACAGGCTCCACTTACGAACGAGGGTTTCGCGTCCGCATGGAACGCCCTCCGTGAGCGTTTCCAAAACAAGAGGCTGATACTCAAGGCCCAGCTGAAGATCCTTTTCAGTCTGCCCCAAATCCGTACCGAGTCAGCAGCAGCGCTAAAAGAGCTCCACAGGGCCGTCCACAAGTGCCTCACGACACTCACCCATTCCGAGGTCTCCACAGACAGCGTTTTCGCTGACGGAGTTTTAGTGTACCTCATTTCCGCTAAGCTGCCAAAGACGACCTTAGAGCTTTGGGAGCAATCCGTGACGCACAAGTCCGAAATTCCCAACTGGCACGCCATGGACAAGTTCCTGGCGGAGCGGTACCTGTCTCTCGAAATGACCGAGGACGACCATCCAGGCATGGAGACTCAGGCCCACTCCAGGGCGAGCATACGCAGTTCAGACAATTCGAGAAGCAATCCGTTTCGGTCTCAAGGAAGTCCTTATCCTAGGAGTGCCCACTCGTTCGAGACCACAGTGAATCAAACGAGGAGCACGTGTGATCTCTGCTCCAAAGAGTATCATCCAATCCGGTTATGCCCTTACTTCCTTCAAATGGGGAAAAACGTGTGAAAGCCGGCCACATCCCGAGGCCAGGCAGATGCATGAGCAACTCTAGCGCCACCGCTCCTATACGCCATCTACTTATTTGTATATGTACTAAATTCAAATAATACATGCCATATTTTACATTTTACATGTAGTTGCAATGTTTTTAGCTTAGCAATTGGAAGGCAACACTAGTTGTAGGTATTCGGTGTTTTTTCATGCAAGTATTTTGAGTAAACAAAGTTAAGGTAACAATAGACTTAACAATAACATGTGTATTCTTTTAAAATGGATTGCGTCTTCTCAGTCCGTTCCTGTCCTCGGAGCAGGCTCCATGATCTTCATGTCAGCATCAGCGTAGGCCCTGTAGTTGGCTGGGTGCGAACCGCCGCAACTTTCGCATTTAGCTGGGTGCAGTGGACTGTAAATCGATGTTCAATCCGTTTTTCTGGATCGTTGGGGCTCAACCCTCCGATCTCTTTTATTGTCGTTTATGTTCTCTCTTTTACAATTGTGTTTTGGGCTTTTGTAAGCCAAAAGCCGCGAAGCTGCGCTGCCAGTGACGCCGGCAGCGGAGCGGCAGAACTATGTGTTCTTATCTCTTATATGTTAGTATGTATATGTGTGAATATGCTCAGCGCTGTTGGCAGCGAGAGCGCGAGGGAAGATATATGTGTGTATGCATGTATATTAGTGCCGTCAAGTCATGGGAACATGCTGACGCTGCACTTGGGTCGCTCGAGGCATTCTTGAGTGAATCGTAATACGATCACCCAGAATGTCTGGGACTTTATTGTTACGTAAACACTGAAACAAAGTGTTACAGTGTGTATTCTTTAAGTACCGTCGGTACAGTGGGTATTCGTAATAATGAATACTTTACTTTACTTTAATATGAGCATACTACAGGACGAACCACCGCACTTTACACAGCCGAAGCCGCGTTGACAGAAGTTGTTAAACCGCCGCAATTTTCGCATTTAGCTGGGTGCGGTGGACGAAACCACCGCACTTTACACAGATGAAGTCGCGTTTGTGTGTGTGTGCGTGGGATTGTTATTTGGCTTGAGTCGGCTTCCATGGCATGCCGCGCCTGGGCGTTGGCTTGATCGCTCTCCTCCGCCTTCTCCCTCACCCATTTCTCCCGTTTTGACGTGAGAGAGTGACGTCGTTTCGGCGTTCCCTTTTGGGTTTGGCGCCTTTTTGTGCGGATTTGCCGTGGTTTGTGTTTGTCGCTGTGGTGTCAGCGGTGCGCGCTGGCGTAGGGAATGCGTAGGGCATTCCACCAAACGATGCACGGCACCAAAATCCGGCTAACGAGAGTAAGATATACTTAGTAGCAAAGACAACACATAACATGAAGCCATCAACATGAAGGATGGCTTTGGATTCAGATACTCCAACCACAATCTCTCTCCTCTCGATTGCTAATTACATCGACTCGTTTGAGAAGTCCAAAGGTTTACCCAGGAGACGGAAAAGTAGGAAAAAGATAAAAAAAAATGCCTGCAAATAAAACGAGGGGGAACGTTGTGAGTTGCTGCGGACACCGCAACTCTACAGTTATACCCGATACTAAGTCAGTATGGCTCTCCTCCGGCAGACGCTAATATTAAACGACACGACAAAGAGTGCGTGCGAGAGAGACAGAAAATCAGTCTGAGCGTGACGTCGGGCGCTGCGTAGCCACTGCAAATTGATTTGTTCCTTTTGGCTATAAAAATGATCTGATCTGATCCAGATTCAGCAATCTAATAGATATGGTCATTATCTATGATTCTGCGTTTTTAGTTTTCTCGAATCTGCAATATTGTGGATGCAACAGATTTTCGTCCTTTGTGGGGGCGGATGGGGGTGGGGCGAAATTCTGAGATATACGTTTTATAGTGACATCTTAAAGGAGTGTGTGTACCAAATTTGGTTATTCTAGCCTTAATAGTCTCTGAGATTTGTGGTTGCCTCAGATTTTCGTCCTTTGCGGGGGCGGAAGGGGGTGTGGCGAAATTTGGACAGGAAACGGTCAAGGTCCGATATCACAGGAGTGTGGATACCAAATTTGGTTGCTCTGGCTTTTATAGGTTCTGAGATCCTTGAACTCATATTTTGCAATTGGCAAAACCGACCATGAAACCTGTGTGTTAGAGTGAGACAGAGCGAGAAAGAGTGAAATTGTTTTCGTGATTCTGGCTGTAATAATTATACGATCTGGTTCAGATTTTGCACTCTGTAAGATATAGTCATCTTCTACGATTCTGCGTTTTTAGTTTTCTCGTATCGTCGAAATTGTGGATGCCACAGATTTTCGCCCTTTGTGGGGGCGGAAGTGGGCGGGGCAAAGTTTTGAAATATTTTTGGAGCAGTGACATATCACAGAAGTCTGGATCCAAAACATCGTTGCTCTAGCTCTTATAGTCTTTGAGCATTAGGCGCTGAAGGGGACGGACAGACGGACAGACGGACAGACGGACGGACGGACAGACGGACAGACGGACAGACAGACATGGCTCAATCGACTCGGCTATTGATGCTGATCAAGAATATATATACTTTATGGGGTCGGAAACGATTCCTTCTGGACGTTACACACATCCACTTTTACCACAAATCTAATATACCCCAATACTCATTTTGAGTATCGGGTATAAAAATTGAAGGAAACGCTAAAGGTAAAGGAAGTACTGGGTTCTGCGGCCATCGGACAGTCGTAAATCATTTCTCATTTCGTCTCATTTCAGCTGGGAGTATAACGGGGGATGCAGGATCGGTGGCAACCGCGACTGTGGTTCGGCGCCAAATGCCGCCGCGCGCCTGCAAGAGCAAGAGCCAGAGCACCGCCAGGCCCAGTCTTACTCCCAGCCGCCAGCAGCCCAGCCGCCTGGCCACGAAGCCCAGCCTGAAGCCGACCACCGGCTCCCAGACGCCATCGCAAAGTCGAGGCCCACCGGTCTCGAGACGATTTTTGAACTGCCCGTCGCAGAGGACGACGGGCCCACCAGCAGCCATGGCGTGGCTTTCGGCGAGTGCCAGCGCCGCGTCCTCGCCCTGGGTACGGGCGAAAAAAAAGAACCCTGTCGCAGAAGCGCTGCCTGAAGGTGCGCAACACCTTGGGCGAACGCCCTTTTACCTTCGTTTACCTTTAGAGTTTCCTTCAATTTTTTTATTTGCAGGCATTTTTTTTTTTGATCGTCGAAAAACTTCAAACGCCACCAAAGACCAAATGCGGTTTTGCAGGAATAAAATATACACTGCCAACCTTCGCTATTTCAACCGCCCATAAGATGCTATGCGGTGACCGCATATACCGACGGTATATTTACGGTATATCGGTATATAATGGTATATTTTGCCAGTTTCATCAATCTATTAAATTACATTTTCAACGTTATATAGAAATCCAATAAAAGCTATTATTTAAATTAAGTCAATCAAGTAGAAAATTGATTCATCAATCGTATAAAATTATGTGGGCATGGCTAAATCTTCCATATAGCTGATATTCGACGGAAGATCAAAATTGAGGGAATCGTCGTATTTGTTGAATCGGTAATGGCCCGGTTGATAACATTTAAATTCTTGTCGCTCACATTCAAAAAAGATAGATTTGGCGCGCACCACTCGTAACCAGTCGATAGTATCGATAACCGAACTTGAATCGGGTAAGGACCTCTTTTACCCGATTGACAAAAATGAGTCTCATTCCATGCACACATACCCTGGGGGAAATGGATGTTATGGAATTGTGAATATGTTTGTCATCCCAGGCAAAAACAATATATTTTCAATATATTTTAATATTATTCAATATTATTTTCAATATTTCACCGATATTTTAAAGCTTATTGTCTATTGTCTAACAAAATAGGGTAGACAAAGGCCTATAATACGGCTTATACGCAATATAGCGATCGTTTTTGTTTGTTGAACTTTTTTGTTTAAACCTTTTTTTACAATAAATACAATAAAAGCAAGGATTAAAAACTATCCAATCTTGTAGAAATTTTATTCATCAATGGGATAAAACTATGTGGGCATTGCTGAGAGATTTAGTTAGTCAGAATTATTCAATGGAATATGAAAATTGACCAATTTCCTTTTTCGTTTGTTTTGATTGACCATTTCGCTACTTGTTTTTTGTTTGACTTATTTCGCAAAATGCAATAAAAGCATTACACCAGTTAAATAGAAAATTGATTCATCAATCGTATAAAACTATGATGGCATGGCTAAATGTTCTATATAGCTAATAATATTCGACGGAATATCAAAAACGAGGAATATGTAAAATATAATTTGAATTCGTCAGTATATTTACGGTATATTTTGAAAATTAGGCGGTATGTTTCGATATATTTCTGAGGGTCGCACGATAAATCCGCGGTCACAATCCTATATACATATATCTGACGAATGGGAAAATATTTTCCTTTCATTCGCGCCAAATCGTAAAATAAGAAATATAACAGTTCTCAGTCGTTATTGGATCAAAGTGAAAATAAGTTTGTCGTGTAATTGTTATGATTTCTGTGTGACGCCCACGCAAAGTGAAGCGTGCCTCCACCATTTTGTAAACTACTCCCTCCTCGTGTCTCTGTCCGTATGTGTAAGTGCGTTTATGTGTGGAATAGTAGCAACGGAACCTGTCGCAGAATGCTCGCTCATAATGAAAACCGCGTAAAAGTTAAAATATTAAACAGTTTTGTGGCATAAGCAATGGACGGGGACCCGTTTGAGGAATCCGGTAAGTTGCATCTGTGGTTTCATGCTGACGCCACTGTCTGCGCCGCCGCCCATAGCGTTTCGGTCCGGTCCAAAGACAAACAAACCGATCAACACCGATTAAGTCAGCGCTATTTCCATACTTATGAATGGCTGAATGCTGAATGAATGAATGGAAATCTAATTTTTAACATTCTCTATAGATCCCGCTTCCACCAAAAAGCAGAGGGAGCAAGTCTTAGAGGTGGCTAGACAACGGCCTGCAACAAATGTCGCCAAGAGCATCGTTGCATATGAGGAGCAGCCAGATCTATCCATCCTGGTGGTGCTCCTCGAGGAGATCAGTAAGAACTCTGACTACTCCACGGACCTACGTCTCTCCACGGAATATGTAAGCATGATTCAATTATATAAGAATTGTGTGTATAAAAATGTATTCCCCAGTACGGCAATCATCTGCTACGGCTTTGCAAGGACAGGAATGTGCCGCGTCGTGTTGCGCTGGGTTGTGGCGGCAGTGCCATCCAGTCGTTGGGAAAGATCTATGCCGATCGCGTGGAGTACATCGGCCAAACCACGGAGCACATAAACGAGTCAATGTCATCAGCGCAACGCGAAGCCAGTGAAAAGAATACCAGTGGGTGAGTACCACGTGCGTGTTTGTGGGGCGAAGAGAGGGAGAGAAGTAGATGCTGCCGGCCGGTTCCATGTGCTCTTCAAAGACGACCGCTTCAGCGGTGTTTCTTCGTTATCGGATGCGAAATTGTACCTCTTATCAGCGTTTCTCTTGCGCTTCCCCTTTCTATCGATTTGTTTACTTGATCTACACGCCGGTTCGTGTTCGGATTCCTGTTTACTAAATGCTCAAATAAGAGATCTGTTTAGTCTACGGCAACATGAGAGCAGTGTGACTTCTACTTCTCTGAATTATCCAATTCTCAGTGGTATGCTAATCATCCTAACCGCCATCCCCTTTCTCTTTACAGCCAGGAGAGCAGTGCACCCAAGCCGGAAGAACCACGGAAGCGTCGAGTAAAAAAACTCGCGCAAAAAACCATTGATCCGTTTCTGGTGAATCTAGAACCACGAGCCTTCAAGACAATGTCCGAGGAGAAGCGGTTTAGTACAACGGGCATGGCAAAGTGTAGCAGAAACAGAACGATCGAGTATCTGTACCAGGACCATACGCCTCCCAATCTGTGGCGAAATGCCCCGATCGTGGATCCCCGTCAGGCCTCGGAGATCGATGAAAAGAAGCAGTATAAGCTGTTCACTTATCACATCGAGCACCGCTACAATACGCTGCTCCCCGACATACAATTCGAGCGACTCAGTCTGATTAAAGAGTACGTTAATTCGCAGAATCTTAGTCAGGATATTCTCAACGTTCACATGACCACGGATGAGTTTCTCTCTGAATACATTGCCCTGGAGAACCAAATGCTGGCCTCGCGCTATGGTGCCACAGTGAGGGCGAGAAGCAGTGGAAGCATGTTGGCGGAAACAATGAAAAGAACGCTCGAGGCGGTGGAGATCGATGCCAGTTGCAATAAAAAGCCGCGAACAGAAGATGAAGCAATGGAGGCATTGGACTCATCTATCGGGACGATGCCAGAAGAGGTGTCGGAGCCTATGGAAGTGAATGAAACGCTAAACCCGAGGGAAAAGTTGCAAACGTTAAACTCATCGGACTCGGGTCTGGGTATGACCCTGGATATCACGACGCTGGACAGCAGCAAACTTGAGAGTGCCGCTTTGAGTGCAAGCCTAGTGGAAGGACCTGCTTTGAGCAGCACCCTCCTGCCAGCTACACGGAACGAGTCGAGTATCTTGGACACTGCGGACTCTGAAATGAATGCGTTGACAATCGGTTGCGAAAAGCCGAAAGGTAAACTAATCACTAACCCAATACTTTAAGCGTACTACGGATAAGATTTTTTGAATCATTTTTTGTTTTTGTAGAAGTTGATACTCACATTATTGTTTCTTTTTTTGCATCTTTTGTTGTGGACATTATCCGCGAATTTGCACACTTGACTTGCGAACAGTTTTTGCAGGCCTGTCTTCTGACGACGAAGGTGTTGTACTTTCAGATATCGACGAACGTCGCCTGCAGTCGCTGTCGCCCAAGGTGATGGTCAGAGATATTCTACCAGGAGTGCCCAACAAGGATACCGTCACTGTGCTCATCGATGACGAGATGCGGGCTCTGGTTGGTATAACGGAAGACGAATCTCCTGAACGGCCGCCCACTTTCGTCGAAGAAGTTGTGACCATTCCAATAGAAGTCTGTTATCCGCTTGAATTTAACATTTTTGGGATTCCCGAAGCCCGTCTAAGACGGAGAAACCTTTTCAAGCTTCCAACAGACTTCGATTTGTTCAAGAAGGCTGTAAGTAGTGCACATCCCTGGCCATTCAATGTTTATAACTAATTTTCTTTTTATTCACCCATTTTAGCGCATTCCCACCAAACGAGATGCAGAACCAAAGCCTCCAAAAGCTGTCCGACTGTTGACACCTGCGATCGTAGAGTATACCGAAGAATCTGCCACAGGCAGAGAACGTAATGATCCAATGAGGCTAAGCTTGGAGTTTGACTTGGATAATAGTATGTGTCTTGATTTTCCAACATTTCTCATGTTTGCTAGAAATTATTAGCTTTAACTTGCTTCTAAATAGATTTCTTGGGCTTTCGGCGACCCACTCACGACTCTGGCGTTGACGACATGAGGTACGATTCGCGGCCAATATCGGTTGAAACCCTTCTTGGATTTAGCGAACCTACCGACGGGGACGAAGGTCCTGCAGATGACAAAAAGCTTGTCGCCGCAGCGTTGGATAAATGTGACAGTGGTTTAGATGCCACACAACTTGAGGCAGAAGCAAATGAATCCGCCAACGTGGACGGCAGTGGCTTAAATGACACACAAACTGACAAAGCAGTACTGCCTGTAAATGCCACACAACTAGAGGCAGCAGCATTGCCTGCAAATGGGCAAGCCAACGGTGACGACAGTGGCTTAGATGCCACACAACTTGACGCAGCAGCTATGTCTGCAGATGATCAACCCAAGGCAGATGTCCCTGCTCTAGATACCACACAACCAGATGCAGGAGCATCGGTGCCAGCAAATGATCAAACCAACCTAGACGACAGTGGCTTAGGTACCACACAAATTGACTCAATTTTAAGTAGTTTAAACATAAACGAAGCGCCGACTAACCCAAGCAGACCTGGAAGTGCGATGGCCCACGACGACTGGAGGGATGATGCGAACAGTACTCATGGCAGTGACCTGGGAGTTGATAATCCGTTCCGAATTGACAAAGGAGGCTTTTCAGACTCCAGCGATCTGGTAGGAAACCCTTAAGATTACACTTTCAATCCAAGAAAAGAACTAACCAATTTAATTGCAGGTGAGGGATTGGCACATCAAAATAGCGCCCATGCTGGAAGTAGCTCACGAAAGGCAGAATTTCAAATTTCAAGATTTGGGAACCGAGATCATCGAAACGTGTCAGCAGGGCCATGGCAGAGCTACACTGGCCGATGTGATGCAGGGCAAAGATAATACCACCATGGGTCGGCATTTTTTTGCCTCATTGAAATTGGTAAGCTGTTGACGATGTGAGATAGTTCTGCAACCGATTTATATGGCATTTCGCTTTTCACTTGCAGCTCAATGACGGGAATATCGTGCTGAAAAATGTAGATCGTGATAAAAGCAAGCCCATCGACATTTCCGAGTATAAAATGCAACTCATGAGTACGGAGCGCAAACAAGTCCATCCAGAAGATGATATTGGCAATTTGAATGTGGTTAAGACAAAGCCGGCTGCGGATAAGAAACGACTAAAACGCAAGTCAACGGAAGTTGTACCAGTGACAGCAGAAGCGCATGTGAAAATGGTGCGATTAATTGAGGCCATACCGAAAGTTTCCCAATCGCGAGATGATGGGGACTCTGGTATATCGTCGATGGCTTCTTCTGCGATGTGGTCGGAGAAGAATCAGTAGAATTTGTCCTGTCTTAATGTTTAATGTGTATTAGCCTATTTCTCTGTAGATTAGCCGTCTCCTAGTGGGTGTACAGTGTGTATAGTTGTCTGTTTTCTGTGTTCATATCGAATTTTCTAACACATTATATTGTGTCTCCGCAGGGTCTGCAAATGCTGCACTTTTCCCAGCTGTACTGCAAAATTAAGAGGCTCCCAATAGCCATGCAATATTTTAGTTGAATTTTTTTGAGCACGTGCATATATTTATCTTTAAGTGTAATTTTATACCTTTACCGTCTGTCGACTATGCCATATATATGTCGGCAAATTTTGGAACAGTATTATTTAAGCTCGATTTCCTTAAGCATTGAACAAATTTCAGATCGCCCTTCAAATGTGTGTCGAATAATTCTTGCCTCTTTTTCGGTTATGATTTATTGTTTAAGACATTTTTTTGTTTGTTTTAATTTTCTTTAATTTTGATTTCTATTATTTGCCATTAATTTCATTTCATTAATTTTGTATTATTATTTTTTTAGTTTTTATACCCTGCAAGGCCTACGAGACTATAGCCTCGATCTGTGGAACGATCGGCCTGTATGAGTTATTTTTCATTTAATTTCTTGCATTTTTATTTCCCTTATTTCATTTCATTATCATTATCAAACATCAGTGAATGTTTTGGTTGTTCGCATTTCAGACAAAATCAGAGAAGAAATTTTATTTAATGGCTAAGTTGCTGGAAGTGTTTCGGGAATTCATGAGCTGATAGTACTAGCATCAAGTACCTGATCTCGTAGTGTACAAATGTATCAAAAATATAAATTTTCTTCTGAAATTTTAACTGTAAATAAGAGAAGCTAGCTGGGGAATGTACATATACACCAAACAGCATAATCTATTGTATACATTATACACAAATTAGCATACAGTACGTACCATACATATGCATATTTTACCTGATTTAAGGCCTGAACATCTATTTACAAATGTGCAAACAAAACCAACAAAAATCCATTTTTTTGTAGCTCTAAGTAGTCATAAGAATATAAAAGAAAATATGCAATTATCGTACTTAAATATGTTTTAATGCAATTGCGATAGTTAAAGGTACTATTTCGCAGTGATCACCGGACAATAAATGGCATTCGGTGCGAGTATGGATCGGATGGAATGTTATTCCGAATCGCTGCTGCCCGACTTGTGCTCTTCCTCGTCCTTTTTCTCCTCAGTCTTGTAGTGGCGATACTCTTTCTTGAGCTCCCACATGTTTTTGTGCGGATTTTTCATGTTGTAGTCGCAGACATCCTTGAGAATCTCTTTTAGATAACTAATAGGCTGGTTCGTGATTTTCACCAGATCCTTAATGTTGTAGTACTGATGCTTTTCAAATGCATGGAAGAGCATATCCATCACGGAATTCTTGTCGTCACGAGCCTTCTTGCCCTCCGCCTTCTTACGCTCCCGATACTCGATCTGGAAAAACCAAAAAATTAAAATTGCGAACAGATTCAAAAGGTATGATATACTGATTTACATTATGAGCGTGATCCTTGACAGGTTTGAAGTTCTGGACAATCTTATCAATGGGCTGCACCCGTCGCTGTGGCTCCGACGCCTTGCGAATGGACTCCAGCTTCAGCTTCATATAACATGTGTCCGCTATGGGGCGGCACTCCAACTTCTGGACAATGCGGCCCTCCATATATAGCTTTTCGTTGTCCGGCGCGGCGCCCGGTGCTGTCGAGTTCTCCTTGCCAATGTTGGCCGCCGCCTCTGGAGCCATGTGCGAGAATACCCCTAACGTTTGCTTCGTCACCTGCGACACGTCCAAGACGTGCTCTGTGGGAATCTTCTCGTCCGGATCGAGGGCCAGCACGGCAGGTGTGAGTGAGAGTGACACCTGGGCCTTTTGTCCCGGCGTCTTGCTGATCCGCAGTTTGCCCACGTCCATATTTGAGGGAGCCTTCTCCCATTTCTGTGCAATGTATTTGGGTACTTTCACCAGCCAAACGCCGCGTCCAGCATTGGATAGATCCAAGTCCTTATCAATAATTTGCACCTTGTCTTTATCGTCTTTAGACATTTTTGGCCAGAAATTATATACAATTTTTCTTACAACGCGACGAAGGCATAAGATAGAGATGATCGCGTGATTAGCAAGGGCACCAGCGATGAGCGCTTCTTCGAAATGTTTGCACTAAATAATTATAAACAACTAAATATTGCCTCGCAGCTAACAGCAAATAATGTAATTGCAATGTAATTTTCTCGAATGACAAGCCTTTTGCTTATATTTTATACTTTCTAATATTCATGCACGATTTGTTACTCGTGCGTGATGCATCATCAAGGTTTGTCCATCCCTATGAGCGATAGAAACTGAATGCGGTAGTCGTTGCCCAGCACTGATCAGCTGTTTGATATCCAATTGGCATTTCTGATTAGATTTTTTCACGCTGGGCTTTTCCCAATAAAGCTGAGAGATAATGTCACCTCCCTCGGCACGGGCTCGATACATTGCCAACAAAGCAGACAACCAGATTCTGCCCAAGAAGCCACCCAAGCGACTGGGACTCAATGGTAATAACAAGGACGCCGCCCCGGCCGGCAACAAAAAGGAAAAAGAGTCAAAAAAGCGGTAGGTACGGGATAAGAGAAATGCAATTTCCATTGAATTAAGATGTGTTTTTCTTGCAGAAAGCAAATCACAAGCAGTGTGCCGGAGGCGAGCAATGCAAATCCCATCACGCCCAGTGTCGGGCTGGACACAGCATTTAAGACATTCGTGAGTGCTCGCCTGTGCAGCGCCATTTGGGCCTACATTGCCGACTGCGATGAGACCTTCAACTACTGGGAGCCGCTGCACTACATCATCAATGGCCATGGCCTACAGACGTGGGAATACAGTCCAGAATTCGGTCTGCGCTCTTACACTTATCTGCTGCTGCAGGGTGTGCCCGGCTACTTTTACCAGAAGATCTTCAATCCCAGTCCGATACTCATCTTCTATATGGTGCGCTGCATGCTGGGCTTTGGTTGCGCGGTCATGGAGCGGTTTATGTACAAGTGCGTACCCCCCTGGTGCCATCTAGAACGTCTCTAACGCTTCTTGCACTCCTTTCAGATCCATTTGTCAGGAGTTTGGCATACACATAGGACGCCTTTGGTTGATTTTCCAGCTGTTCAGCGTAGGCATGTTCGTTTCCAGCACGGCTCTGCTGCCCTCCTCCTTCTCCATGTACTTTGGCTGCTCCGCCTTGGCCGCCTGGTGGCAGCAACACTATAGCCTCGCCATTTTCTTCACGGCCATCTCGGCGCTGCTCGGTTGGCCATTCGCCGCGTTGATTGGAGTGCCGCTGGTGCTGGAACTGCTACTGCGCCAGCGGGACTGGAAAACCTTTGTCCAGTGGACTCTGATTTCGGGTGCGACAGTAGCCATTCCCATGATCGCCATCGATACGAGCTACTTCGGCAAGTTAACCTTCGCTCCCCTGAACATCGTCTGGTACAACGTCTTCACCAGCCATGGACCGAACATTTTTGGCACTGAACCAATCAGTTATTACATAGTCAATGGTTTCCTCAACTTTAATATCATTTGGGTGAGTCTGATAGGCCGATCACCCATCTGCAGGCCTTCATTTCGTCTTCATTTTAGCTGCTGGCTCTTCAACTACCCATCATGCTGGTTATGGACTATCTAATTGTGCCCGCCAAGTCCAAGTCAACGCTGAACTTCCCGCACTACATCTCCCTGGCGCCGCTGTACCTGTGGCTCTTGGTGTTCTTTGCCCAGCCACACAAGGAGGAGCGTTTCCTCTTCCCCGTGTACCCGCTGATCTCTCTGTGCGGCGCCATCACCGTGGATGTGTACCAGCGTATCTTTTTCCGCTTCAAGATGCTGATATTCAAGATCAAGGCGGGCGTGCACTACCTCGACCACACCATGTTTATTGCCATCATTGTGATGGTGGCCAGCACATTGTTGGGGCTGTCGCGAGTGTTTTCCTTGTATCGGAACTACCATGCGCCCATGGACCTGATGCTGGAGCTCAATCAGTTCAAGGCGACGCCCCAGTACAATCCGAATCAGATCTACAATGTGTGCATCGGCAAGGACTGGCACCGATATCCGGGCAGCTTCTTCTTCCCGGCCCGGAACTTCCGGTTGCGTTTCCTCAAGTCCGAGTTCCGCGGTATGCTGCCGGCCTACTATGTAGATGGACCAAATGCCACCCAAGTGGTGCATCCCTACTTTAATGATCTCAACCAGGAGAACGAGCACATGTACTTTGACTACGATCGCTGCGACTTCCTTGTCGACTTTGATGAGGGCAAGTACACGGCCCTGGAGCCCAGCTACTCGAAGCGCACCAAAGACTGGTCCATTATGAAGAGTCTGCCGTTCCTCATACCCGAAAAGTCGCACCAGCTGCTGCGTGCCTTTTACGTGCCATTCCTCACCGACAATCACATCCAGTACGGCGACTTTAATCTCCTCAAACGCAAAACCAAACGCAATGGCAGGTAGGAATCGGATCGGATCGGATCATCGGACTGAAGGAGTACAGACGACAGCATTTTCCTATCAATTAATTTTAATTGTGTATTCCCAGTATTTCTTTTCGCTTTTCCCCCTTTATAATTGTACAATTTCCAGTGATTTATGTTCCATATTTTAGTATGTTGTAAGTCCACCGATTTGATTCCTACTCGTATCAGCTTTTATGTTTGCCCCATGCCAAAGTTGTAAAGATCGTTCCGAATCGAAGTAGAAATTAACACCTTCGCATTATAGACATCGAGATACTTTAAACATACATGTATTTCGAGAAGTTTTACACGCTCTGGATTAGCTGAAAAACTGGAATTCCCTGGGATCTCTGTGGGATCGGACCTCTTCTGGGAAGCAAACTTTACAATGGAAATCGCTTGGACTTAGCCTAAAATCGTGTGCGGGGAGGGGACTGTTTACAATGCTATATTTGGTCTACTCAATGTACATACACAGTGCTGGGGGCCTTAATCCTAATCCTAAACTGACTTAGCAGCGATATTTACAACTCCTCATCTTCATCACCTCCATCCTCCCTCCAGCTTCTAGAAGTAGACCGTCAGATTGTTCTCCGAGGAGCCCATGGCATCGGTGGCAGACAGCAGATTGGACTGGCCCGCATTGGCCGAGGCGGTGGTGATGGTGGTGACACCATTTCCACCCATTGCACCACCCACAGCTCCTACTGGGGCCGGCACTTTCCGATTGTTGTTCTCCGGCGTCGTCGTCGACGTCTGCAGAGAGTCGTGCTCGATCTCGTCCTCCTCGTACAGCTGGCCATTGGCCGAGGCCCTCGAAACGATGCCTGGCAAGAAGACTATTAATAGTCAATGTTCGGGATGAGTTTTGCGGGGGATAGGCTGAAAGGAAGCGGCAGAATGTAGCTCCAACTTACTGCGAACTGTGGCTGCATAGCTCTCCCGCTGGCGCTCCCTCTCGCGCTCCCGTTCCCGCTCCAGAAGAGCCGCGGAACTGCCCAGAGCCATGCTGCTGCTGGCGCCACTGGCCACATGATGCAACCCGTTGTTCATGGGATTGGCCATAGTGATGTTCCCGCCATGCTTCATGTGCAGCACCGAGACACCGCCGCTGGTCACGCTGGCGCCATTGCCATTCCCTGCCAGCTTTTCGTGGGTCACCAGATTAGCGGACGAAACGCTGCTGTGCGCCTGGCTGTGGACCCTATTCCGGCCGAGACCCAGGGCACTGGCACTGCTCTTACCCTGCTTCTTGGATCGCACAATGTAGCAGGTAAGGGCCAAGATGATCATCAGGAAGAGGCCAACAATCATGCCAAACATCCCCAGCATATTGCTGTTCCAGCCGGACTGGGCCAGCGTCAGTCCCTCCATTGTCACGCTCACTGGCACAGAGGTGCTCCTGGGCGGCACTCCTGTGTCCGTGGCAATGGCTATCAGATGCACCGTCGACTCATTCAGGCTCTGCAGCTGCTCCGGCCGCATGTAGATGTTCCCAGTGGCATCGATCTCAAAGAGCCCGGCATGCTGGCCGCGCAGAGATAGCTCCAGCTTGTCATTGCGATCCCCATCGGCTGCCTCCACCTTGCCAATCAGTACACCCTCAAAGGTGTCCGTGCGCGACTGCAGCGACTGCTGGAAGGGATTTAGATAATGGATCATTCTGTTTAAAGTATTTCCCTAGAATACTCACGCTTTTGGGCACCATAAACTCGTAGTGGGTCTCACGGAATCGCGGCTCCCAGTCGTTGACATCAATCACCTCTAGAGTCAGTTCCGCTGTGCTGTTGGTCATCCCATCGGTGGCCAGTACCTGGAACTCGTGCTTTGTCATCTTCTCGTAGTCAAGCGGCTTGGCCAGCACCAGTTCCCCTAGCGATCCCACGCTGAAGAACTGAGAGTTGACGGGATCTGGTATGGTGTATTTCAAGTGTTTTCCCGGCTTGTTTGTGGGCAGCGCCAGGATACGATTGCCCACAGCCGTGTCCTCGCGAATGCGCATCACGAAGCGCTTTTGGACAAAGGAGAGCGTGCTGAGATCGCTGTGGCTGCCAGGGCGCGTTAGCTGGACTGTGGTCAGGGCATAGCGATCGGGATTGTCGATCTGCGTGGCCTTTACAACCAGCGTGGCCCCGTGAGCGATCTCCCCATAGCCAATGGGCGTCAGCAGGGTGATTTGTCCGTTGTGCGGATGGATGCGGAAGTACTTGGCGTCCTGCGACTGGACAATGGTGTATTGAATGGGCGCACAGATGCCCTCGTCCTGATCCACGGCCTTGAGGGGCTCGGGGCGCATGCGCAGTTCTCCGGGACGACCATCATTGGGCAGCTCTGCGCTGTAGGATTCCCGCTGGAACTTGGGATTCTGATCGTCCGCATCGGTGATCACCACGCGCAGCAATGTGTCCGAGTGGCGTGCCGGCGTTCCCTGATCCTGGGCCCTCAGCTTCACCGTGAAATTCTGCAACTGCTCGTAGTCCAGAGCCTTCCTCAGCACCAGAGTGCCCTCTAGGGGATTGAGGAACTGCACGAGCTCCGCATAGGGTCCGGGCAGCACCTGATACTCGACGGTGGAGAAGGGACCTGGCTGATCGGCATCCTCGGCACGGGCTCCCTGCAGTATCCTTGTCCCTGGGACCGTCACCTCGGACAGGGTCAGCGTGTAGGGGGTGCCAATCCACTGGGGGGCATTATCATTGACGTCCGTCACGCGCACATTGACGGGGATGACGAAGCTCTAGGGGGTGAGCAAAGGAAAGAACTTTGGATTCAGCAAACACTGGACTAGGACTAGGACTAGGTCCGCCGCCTGACTGGTCACTGACCTCCCTAGAGTTCAAAGCCCAAGAGTCCTGCATATATTTGCATGTTTAGCGCCACACGCCTCTCGCCAATCTCCCACCCAGACCTTCCCGTACCGTCAGGCGGAAGCTCTAATGGCTAATTTATGGCCACCACAGCCCGAGCCACAGCTAATGCTAACCACAGGCCCCCACACATACGAAGGGTGGCTTGCAACCGACTCCTCCTGCTCCTTGGGCTACTCCTTGACTTGAAAGTTGGAGCCAACACATTTCGTTGTTGATTCTAAAATTGAAATGGGCGTCTATTGTCTGGCCTGGCCTGTGCGGGCATCTGGCTAAAAGTTTTCAATTGTTTATTGAGTTCTACGAAAACCTGCAACTTCTCTGCGAAACGTGTTTTCCCGAATTTAACAAGCTCTAAACCACAACAGGACCTTTCCAAGGAAAGGGAACACGCACTGCCAGCTAGCTGGAGGTGGGGTAAGGAACACACTTCAATATAGGTTAATTGTTTGGCCCCGCCATTACGACCATTGCACGTAAGGACCCAAGGGGGTGCCTTTGCAGGTGTGGAATGCGGTAGCCCACAAAATGGAAAACTTCAAGAAAATGCGGCCACTGACCAGGAGGGAAGGAAGGAAAGGACTCCGGGCTAGATTAATTGCTCCGTTAAGCTGATCGACAATTACTTTGAGTGTTGCTCTCATTGTTCTAGATTGAACTTCCTGTGGAACTAAATGCTATTATTCCCTGCTTTCACTTACCGGATCCGTTGAATGCCTCCTTATGCATATAACATTTACATATATCGACGAGGGACCTCTGACACCCTCCTTGTCCAGTTCCACAGACAAGGCCAGGTCCTTGCTCCCTGCCAAAATCTCAACGGGCGCAGTCTTCTCCCTCAGCGACAGGGTGATGTCGCCAGTCTCTGCATTTGGATCGCCATTGATGCGCAGTTTGCCAATTATGGAGCCCACCTCCAGATCTTCGGTGGCCAGGAAACTCTCCGCCGAGCCGCCACCCTCCAGATAGCAGCGCGAGTCCAGTATCGCTCCAATGGTGGCTGAAAATTAAAAGAAGACAACGGTACAGGTATAAAGTGAAATGAATTGCACGGAACGGACTGGACTCTCTCCCTTTCGGGTTTACTTTCGGCTCTCGACTTGCAATTATCGCAAGCTTAAAGCAAATTACAGCGCTACAAGCTACAAGCTACAAGAGGAAGCCACCACAGTCGGACTCGGAGTGCGGTCCAGTGTTGCAGTGAGTCAGCCTATCCGACCCACAGCCTAGACATGTGTTTGCTCTCGGTCTTTGAATGGATACGCTCTACTAAGCTTCCGTTTTTCTTTCATTTCATTGCTGCAATTCAAGGCATCGTCCATCGTGCCGGAGAGCTTTGAAGACCAACCACCGAACGAACCACCACAACAAACAATCGGGTCCAGTCCCCAGTCCAGTTCCCCCATTACCATTTCCATTCTCACATGTGGCTAAACTTGGCCATCGCCATCGCTATCGCCTGGCAGTTGGCCAAATGGAACATACACGTACTCGTAGATGCCGCTGCTCGACTTGCAGCTGATGCAGCGTTTCCGGACAAGCTCTGATATCTAATTGTGTTATGGGTGCAATGGGTAAACGTTAACTCTAACTCTGAATAGTCATGCAAATTTGCTGGAAGGAAAACACTTTACCTTTCCCCAGACTACACACAAAGTGGTGCCAAGATACATTTACAGTAAATTGTTTAAACAATTATCCCAACTTATTCCTAAAGGTATGTCGTGAAGAGAAACTTATAAGAGATTAACATTGAATATTTTCAGAATAAGTACCAGGATCGATAAAGATCCCTGGACTGTATATTCGTGAGGTTTTTTCTAAAAGCTGTAATATATTCCAATGCCATTTCTCTTACGTTTCTCAAACTTCAAGAGCATACCGATACGAAAAACGTCCCTTGAACTTAATATGTATGTATCTATATCATATCGCTTTTCTGATAAGCTTCCCCAATTTACTGGTATGAGATCTTCAAAGAGTATGTATTATTACTCTCTCTACTACTCCCTCTCTAGAGAAAACCCTATAGTTCTGTTCTCCATTACCTAACACCCCTATGAGAGCATGACATAACACCTTTTTTTTTTGGGTTAGTGCAATAGCAAACTTTTTCAAGTATTTCTCATAATTATTTCCAGTTTTTAGCTATAGACCCGTTCTTAGCTTCTTCTTCTTTAATTTCTGTGTGTTTTTTTCTCGGTTCCTGTTCGTTCTGGTAAACGGTTTCGGTTGCAAACTGTTTGCAATGACCCTGACTGACGGTCACATATGTATGTATGTTGTATTGTATGATCTCCGGCGGGAATTTCTCTTTATGCCAGGCAGATGAGATATACAGATGTACTCGTACGTGTACTGTACGTTGGAGTGGAGTGGAGTGAAATCTTCTACTCTACTCATTCTCAAGATCTTTGTTGTAGGTTAATTGTTGTGACATTGGGCAATGCAAACACTCGGATGCCAGATGGCAGACTTTCTTTGGCTGCTGATGAAAACGTTTCTGAAATTAGTCTAATTGCTGCGAGGGAATTTATTACCAAATCAAGAGATGGAGTTACAAAGATGTGTGCTGATAGCTCACGTACTGGCTTGAGTTTGGCTTACTTTCGGAAGAAAATGGAAAGTTTTTTGAATGTTTTTTTTTTTTTGAGAAGACAATTTGGCAAGGCAGCTAACAGGATTAGGATTGCGGATTGGGTAACCATCCTACTAATTAATGGAAAATGCATTATGTGTAATCCCCATTTTATGTAAAAAACAACGACTAATTAGAGCCATCGACTAACAAAGCTGGTTCCAAAACCAAAACCCATCCATACTCATAAAGTGCAAATATCTCAAGCGGAAATCCGTGAAGCTCTGCACAAATAAGCTAGAGATTAAAGATCCAACACAGACCCCCACAACAGCTCCAACGCCAACTCCATTTCCAGATTGCATAAGTTCTGTTTAGTTTTCGCAAAAAGTAAGGCGCAGGAGGAGTGGAGGGGGAGAGTTGAACAAATGAAAGTGAGTTTGCAGCTGAACAAATTTATTTTGGCCAAGTAGGTGAATATGAATATGAATATGAATAAAAGTACGAGTAGGAGACACCGCCACCGCAGAAAGGTTTCAACAATCAACAGCAAAGTTCAGAAAACAAATTTTTATTCGGTTTGTTTTGGTTTTCCAAAAAAAAGAAAAAAAGAAATAAAGAAAAACCGTTCAGCTTGGTGATTTCCATGAACGAAACGAAACGTCAAACTCCTCGGTCTGGGCCACTGACTTTGGGGGGAGGCATGCACATATGTATGTACATACATATACATATATATATTTTTGGGATTCGTATGCGCCACAACTTGTGGCTGCTTCGAGAGTAGAGTTCTGTCTGGTTAAACATCATAAGCATCGGCATAAGCATTTCGCAATCAATCTTTTTGTGGCACAGGTCAAGCAGACAGACAGACCCGTTAAGGCAGAACCTGAACTGTGACAACCCCAATCCCCCAATTCCCCATTAAAGAACAGCAACCGGAATGCGAATAGAAGCTCTATCTAGCGCTCCAGGCAGGCGGTGGCAATCGCTGATGTATGACAATGTAATGAACCGAAATTAATGCACTAAATGGAACTTCAAACTGGAGCAAAATTACTTCTATCTTAGCTGCCCCATGGGGGGGCAGGGCTGGGCAGGGCACTACTTACGAGACGATACAAGTAAGTCACGTAAAAACTTGTATCCGTCATAAATCGTTGGACCAGAACGACGTTGACGTTGACGTCTCCGTCTGTTATCCGAGCCTGACTTTTCTTTTGCGTTTAATTTATCGAGTCTCGCTAGGAATTTCACTATTTTTCAGTGTTCAGTTTTTACTTTTCGAGGGTTACATGCGGTTAATTACTTTGTTTGTTTTCGATTAACAAAGACAACATAAGACACTCGTCAAAGGCAGTTACTCAACCGACATTCCAATGAGAAAGGTATACTACTGCCTCCTGGATGACGGAAAGGAATTTTAAGGAATATTATGGCAATTTGAGCACCAAAAAACCGTTCAGAAGTTAAATAACTTAAAGGAAACTAGGAGGCAAGCCCCCTACCCCTAATGTTCAATACTTCATATATTATCACACAAATTTGTATACAATTAATCCCAACCCAGCCTCAAGAACCACTTCTGTTTTTTGTAACGTAACATCAGGTTCAATACTTCATATATTATCAAACAAATTTGTATACAGTTAATTCCAACCCAGCCTCAAGAACCACTTCTGTTATTTATAACGTAACATCAGGTTATATTTTGGCTTACATATATCTTTAAATTTTTGTCGTACGAATGTAACATAACGCCAGAATATAAATGCCCATATTTAAAAGAGAGATAATATTAAATCAATCCCGTCCCTCCGTTATATAGCCTTAAGAACTTACCCTTATCTAGCCAGCAGAACACGGCAATCAGGTAGCATATCCAATGATGTTTTATCCACATTTTGCAAAGCAATGTATATTGTATTCCGATTAACCAATAACCAAGTCTTTAGCTCCACACAAACCATATAGTTTTCTTTATTCTTCTAGCGATCTTTGTTCACTTGCAATTTCTTTATACTTTCCATAATTAAAGTCTCCTCTTTATTGCATGTTTCCTTTCTATGACAGCCACTAAATTTCGTTATATCAGTGATGTTCTATATAAACGTTCTCTAATGGAATTTATGGGAAGGTTTTCTTTTGTTGTGTGCTCTGTAATTGGTACAAATGGCAAAGGAGGGAAATAGTTAAGTATCATACACCATACGGGGAGGAGGAGGAGTAGGTGTAACCAGAATCTGCACAACAGTCTTCTAGATTATTACAAGATTATTAGATAGACAAAACACTTTGGCACAGAAACCAAAGCAACTGGAACATTAGCCCGACCTCCGCGAACCCCCCTGCCCCAACCGAAAGTCATTCTTCATCTTTAGCATACGTATTCTTCTGGGTACTCTTTCTTTAAGCGATTCTTTGTCTTTTTGCTTGTGGCACAAATGTCGCACACATGTCACCTCTGAGTCGCGGGGGTCGCTTGGGTTGGTCGGTTGCGTTGCCACATTGCCTTAGTTGTTGCCACCAACGGAATTGGCGGCATTTTACCATCCACCAAGCAGCAAGAACAACAACAACAAACCTAACCGCCTGTTAAATAGTTTTTGTAGTTGTTTCCTTGGTTCCGTTCCTGTCCACAATCGTACAAGAATTTCAGACGCTTTCCCCTCGGGAAGGCAAGGGAAAGGAGCTTCTTTATGGCCAGGATTTATGGCATGCCACAGCCAGGGTAGGCAGGTGGGGAAAGTGTGAGTATGGTGTGGATGGGGTGTTGCATGGGATGGTGGCACAGACAAACATTTGCATACAAATCAGCCACTGGCCGGTTGGCCGTTGGCTATTGGGCGAAAATGAAAACGTTTTTCTGACCGGAAACTCGCGGAAGCGCACAAAAAAGTCATTCACCTGTGGAAAAACGGTTACATTTTCCAATATTCACAAGCAACGAGTTTTCCCTGATTTGTAGTTCAAGGAACCTAATGGATGATGAGATGATGCATGACCAGAGGAAATGTATGGTGTAAAATGGAATTTTTTCTGAAAAAAACATTTTCTTTTAGGATCTAAAGATATATATTTCTTCGGAAAAGGTCTGAATATTCCATCATATGGTTTCCAATATTTTGGAAGGGTCGCTTCAAAGATTACTTCAAAGAAAAAGATCAGAGAATGAATACATACATATGTAAGAAATCTGCTCAGTTCAGGTGAAGGATTCAAAGGAATATCAATGGGTTCTGGAATGTCCTGTATAACGTATGAACAAAAAAATACAGTCTCTAGAAAGGGTTGTTTCCACTAATAACCTTTAAGCACAGTCACAATTAAAACCTATTCCTTGGAATGTATTTCTTGTATCCTTGTATCTGCACTTTGTCGCTTTGTCGGGCTATTCCTTTTTGGCATTATAGATTCTTCAACTTTGCACTGCTGTTAGGGGCACACATCACAAAGATGGAAGTTAGAGCTAAGAGTTATCCAGGCGAGGCACATTTGCTACCACTCCGTCGCGCCGCACGAGCTCATCACGATCCAAACACAAACTGATTTTCCATAATGTTGCCACAACCAGGGAACGGGCCAAGCCGAGCCGAGCCGAGCCATGCCCCCTAACAACCGCCAGGTGAGGCAAACAGAAAGAGTAGCAGCAGCAGCAACAGCCTGTAAGGTAAAGCCGGTGTGCGTTCCGTTCCGTTCGGACTTATGCTCCACCTGCATACATTCTCACACACACACACATGTGCTCTTGGTGGTGGAGAGTGGAAGCCACTCTCTGGACTGGTGACGTCTCTCGGCCCGTGCTGTGTTGCGTTGAAAATGTTTCCACATCACTCGTCAAGCGTTTCGATTGAAGCTTCTCTTTGCCGCCATACAACACAACATAAAAAGAAGCACAAAAGAAACGGAAAGCAGCCACACAGACGACGGGACAGGCGATGGGTAACGAGAATCACTCCATGGCGCACGCGCCCCAGCTCATCTCAATGGACGGTTAAATTGATGAGTGTAATCCACAGGGTACTTAGTGAGAGGGTAAAGCATTCTCAGAAAGAGATCCATTCTTCCTCTTACATTATATAGTGTTCAAAGTGGGTTTCAATATAGTGATAGAAAATGCCTCACCGCATGTTAATACACCTTTGAAGACTCCAGACTATGGCTCCTCCCGCTCTCCCTGCTCTTTCTGCTTTCTCTCACATGCAATTCTCAGTTCACTTGTGCTTTCGTTATGCTCCACTGGGCGGGCTTTTTCAACCCCTTCTTCCTTATCGAATGCAAGTTTCCGCGCTCTCTCACTCTCTTTCTCTCTGTTTACCTTGCATTTTCGCCATGACAACCAACCCAAGTGGCGTCCTAACACTACCGGCATTCATTCTCTCCCTTGGAGCCGGTTCTCTCTCTTTTGCACTCTCTACTCCACCTGTCGTTCCGTGACTCAGCTCAGTGACATTGCATTTGCATGTGGATGCCCCGTTAATTGCTGTAATTCTTCGAGCTGGACGACGCCGCCACATAATTGCACAGTCTCTCACACTCACACTTACATTCCCTTTCTGCCTGCCTTTTAGAAGGGGCTTTCCTGTACAGTTTCGTGCTTCCTTTCAAGTAGTTTTTTGGGACATGCTTTCAATGGGTTTTTGCTTTTCTTTTCTTGCCGCCACCCTGACAGGCCATACTGTTGACTTACATTATGAGCAGGTCGATTATGTACGCCTTATTGGTCTTTAAATGGGGTACTTGAAGGCATTTTTTACTACAAGGGGAAAGTATAGAGAGGTTGATTAGCTGACAGAGGGGTTGGTTGGACTGTCGGGTTGATTGGTCTGCCTAATGGATCTTGAAATCCTTCTCTAACACTCTCGGACATTTATGACCAGTTCTATTTTTACATTAAGAGCATTCTGTGCGCATCACAAGTACTTGGCAACTGTGTTAACATAAGTATCCTCAGACTTAACCTAAACATATTTGGAGTCCTGCGATTTGGCGTTCGAATTGAATTCAAATCAACTTAAATAATAAGCTTAAATACATACGAAATACAACTAAAATTGGCTACGTTTCCACCTACAGTTCTGTGTGCTGCTTCGCCTTGTCGTAGAGCCTTTTGCAGATATTGTTCAGCGCATGCGACACCTCTAGGCGATACTCATCCTTGCTGTTGGCATATCTATTCCGGATCGTGAGCAAGGCATGCCGCAGGGCCGAGCTCTGCGACCAGACGCTGTGACACATACTCTGCGTGGTCCATATGGCCGTCGAGAACTGCTCCACTAGCTCGGGTTGGTCCAACAAGTGCAGGAAGTCCTTGGATAGCACATCATCCAATGCTCTGCAGTAGCCCTGAGTCTCCAGCCAGGGCTCAAACTCGATGAGCACATACTGGGCGGTGGACGAGGCGGCATCTGGCATGTCTTTGCTGCCCTCCAGAGCAAAACGCTTCTCCTGGACCAAATCACTGATCAGCGTTACCACTTTTCCCTTGCTGCGAAGCTCCATTTCCGGGCTGCGGAGGACCCGAATCAGAGCCTGTGTGCCCGAGGTGGAGAGGACGCGCTTTTGGGCCAGCGGGAACTTTCGCAGCAGCGCCCCAAAGGCATGTAACGCCGAGGAGATTTCTGCAGTATTTGTGGAGCTGATGATTATCTGGGACAGATGGGAACCGAAGCTCTTCTCAAACACCTTGATTTGGGCCTTGGGATTGTTGCTCGTCAGGGAGCCCAGCACTCGCATGGCGGATACTCTTAGCGCCGTATTTGTGTCGTTCACAACGATCGGCAGCAACACGTCATCCAATCCGCCGTTATCAATGAACACCAAGGCATTATCGATTTGATGGAGCAAAAACTCCAGAGTCTCCAGTGCGTCCAGCTTGGGCTTCAGCTCGGACTCCAAGGGGTTCTTGCTGAAGTTTCGGTACTGTCCGATCAGTTGAACAACCAGCTCGCCATCGGTCCGAAAATTCTTCTGGAACTCCTTGTAGGCCTTTCGTAGCTCCACGTACTCCTTGGCGTGGCGCTGCGACGCCTCAATCAAATCTTTCTTGTAGTCCAGGGGCAGCGGTTCACCGTCAGTTTCGTCTATTGTCTGGCTGCTCTGCAGCGCTGTGCCACGTTCGCTCTCGTCCAGCAACTTGGCTTCTTTCAGGCCGGTCTGCAAATTAATGCGCACGTGTAAGCCCTTTGGTATTGCCTGACCTGTAAGGCAATGCTTCTTGAATTAGTAATATATCTGCATAGTACACGTAATTCCCCCACATTACCTTCGTTGATCACCTGCCATTCCTTCGTGGGCACAAATTGCCCGGTCTTGTTGTCGGTTGTCTCTGTCGCCTCCACTTGTAGGCTGCTGCCCAGGACCAGGACAGTGGCCAGAACTAAAAACAACTGCTTACCATTCATTTTGTGTGCTCTGCTGTGTCTAGACTGCTTACATTACGTGTTTCACAAGAATTTGTTTAATTTTAATTAATGTGGATTATAGAGGTGTCAAACCATCGAGGGCACTATCGATAGTATCGATGTTTTTTACTAGCCGCTTCTATCGATGGTTTTGCGACTATCATGATGCTATCAAGCTACTAACTGCTCAAATGCGAACGGTTGCTCTCCAACCACTACTCTGACGCGTTAGGCCCTTATTCGTGATTATTCCTGCGCTGTGGAAATAAATAGAGAGAGAAATAACTATTTATTCATTTTATTCTGTATTCCTACTTACTCCTCCATAGGCAACTGACGGACGTAACTGGCATTTTACCGGGCAGAGGCGGCCGTAAAGGCAACCGCCTTGTTTGTCCGGACACCACTTATCTTCGCTCTCCATATGTAAATGACCGGTGACCTCCTCGCCAAGCATCTTGCAGCGTTGGCGGTTTAATTCCAATTGCAGACTTGCAATTGTCGGTTGTAGGCGCTGGTATTGCTCTGGTGCGCCGGTGGAGGATCATATGCCCCCGGATTCGCTTGTTGGCCGAAATTAGAATAAGAGTAAGATTCTCGACACCGTTATGTTTTCATATATTTGCATACATACAGGACAGTGGCGGTTTAAAATACCAATACGTGAGGCTTAGATTTAATTGTATGAGTGCGTCGTAAAAAACGCGTATATGCGTATAACCAACGTCGCCGAAGCCAATCGGTGCACCCGTGGATTCCCCGCACCCATATTTTGAAGTAGTCCTTGTTCCAAAAGCTTCACTCGTTCTGTTAAATAAAAATTCCTCTTCCCTTCTATCCTCGGAGTGCAATTCATCCTCCGCCTCCAATTATCCTCGGATAAAAATCAAATCTCCGCAGCATAACTTCTCCTCGGAGCGTTCTTAAACCTCCGCAGCGAATTTTCTCTTCCAAGCGCACTTTACGCTACAGTTGTTGAATCGTTTAATTCGTTTAGGTAGATGCGCTGTTTTTTAATGGTTTAAGCCAGTGAAGTGCTGAAAATGGCGCCGAGAGAGATACGCAGATTGAGTGTGCAGCGTCTAGTGTAGTCTTCTGTATAGTGTTACAAAAATTCACGACTAAATTTCGGAATCACATATGGGTACATAGAGGCAGGCACATGTTGACTCCCAGACATCGGAGCAGATTGAAATAGTAGGAGCATTGTTAGATGCTGGCGGATCAAACGGATCCTAGTTGAGTTTTTTTTATACCCGATACTCAAAATGAGTATTGGGGTATATTAGATTTGTGGTAAAAGTGGATGTGTGTAACGTCCAGAAGGAATCGTTTCCGACCCCATAAAGTATATATATTCTTGATCAGCATCAATAGCCGAGTCGATTGAGCCATGTCTGTCTGTCCGTCTGTCCGTCCGTCCGTCCGTCCGTCTGTCCGTCCCCTTCAGCGCCTAATGCTCAAAGACTATAAGAGCTAGGGCAACGATGTTTTGGATCCAGACTTCTGTGATATGTCACTGCTACAAAAATATTTCAAAACTTTGCCCCGCCCACTTCCGCCCCCACAAAGGGCGAAAATCTGTGGCATCCACAATTTTAAAGATACGAGAAAACAAAAAACGCAGAATCGTAGAGAATGACGATATCTTTTAGACTGCAGAATCTGAATTGGATCGTATTACTATTATAGCCAGCATCAAGAAAACAATTTCATTTTTTCTCGCCCTGTCTCTCTCTAACACACAGGTAGCATAGGCGGCTTTGCTTAGAGTAAAACATTAGCGCCTAGATCTCAGAGACTATAAAAGCTAGAGCAACCAAATTTGGTATCCACACTCCTAATATATCAGACCGAGACGAGTTTGTTTCAAAATTTCGCCACACCCCCTTCCGCCCCCGCAAAGGATGCAAATCTGGGGATATTCACAAATCTCAAAGACTATTAACGCTAGAGTAACGAAATTTGGAATCCGCACTTCTCTTAGATCTCACTATAAAACGTGTATCTCAAAATTACGCCCCACCCCCTTCCGCCCACACAAAGGACGAAAATCTGTTGCATCCACAATATTGCAGATTCGAGAAAACTAAAAACGGGGAATCATAGATAACGACCATATCTATCAGATTGCTGAATCTGGATCAGATCAGATAATTTTTGTAGCCAAAAGGAACAAATCAATTTGCAGTGGCTACGCAGCGCCCGACGTCACGCTCAGACTGATTTTCTGTCTCTCTCGCACGCACTCTTTGTCGTGTCGTTTAATATTAGCGGCGTCTGCCGGAGGAAAGCCATACTGACTTAGTATCGGGTATAACTGTAGAGTTGCGGTGTCCGCAGCAACTCACAACGTTCCCCCTCGTTTTTTTTGCAGTTGCGTCTTTGTTGTAAAACTTTACGCCATGGAGTTTCCCTAATGTGCAATCTGACTTTATTCATTTGGAAATAAACCGATTATAAGGGAGTTTTGCAACTGCCTGCAATCAGGATACCGTATACGTTTATTTTTATACCCGATACTCAAAATGAGTATTGGGGTATATTAGATTTGTGGTAAAAGTGGATGTGTGTAACGTCCAGAAGGAATCGTTTCCGACCCCATAAATTATATATATTCTTGATCAGCATCAATAGCCGAGTCGATTGAGCCATGTCTGTCTGTCCGTCTGTCCGTCTGTCCGTCCGTCCGTCCGTCCGTCTGTCCGTCTGTCCGTCCCCTTCAGCGCCTAATGCTCAAAGACTATAAGAGCTAGAGCAACGATGTTTTGGATCCAGACTTCTGTGATATGTCACTGCTACAAAAATATTTCAAAACTTTGCCCCGCCCACTTCCGCCCCCACAAAGGGCGAAAATCTGTGGCATCCACAATTTCGACGATACGATAAAACCAAAAACGCAGAATCGTAGAGAATGACCATATCTTTTAGACTGCAGAATCTGAATTGGATCGTATTATTATTAAAGCCAGCATTAAGAAAACAATTTCATTTTTTCTCGCCCTGTCTCTCTCTAACACACACGTAGCATAGGCGGCTTTGCTTAGAGTAAAACATTAGCGCCTAGATCTCAGAGACTATAAAAGCTAGAGCAACCAAATTTGGTGTCCACACTCCTAATATATCAGACCGAGACGAGTTTGTTTCAAAATTTCGCCACACCCCCTTCCGCCCCCGCAAAGGATGCAAATCTGGGGATATTCACAAATCTCAGAGAGTATTAAGGCTAGAGTAACCAAATTTAGTGTCCGTACTCCTGTTAGATCTCACTATAAAACGTATATCTCAAAATTTCGCCCCACCCCCTTCCGCCCCCACAAAGGACGAAAATCTGTTGCATCCACAATATTGCAGATTTGAGAAAACTAAAAACGCAGAATCATAGATAACGACCATATCTATCAGATTGCTGAATCTGGATCAGATCAGATCATTTTTATAGCGAAAGGAAACAAATCAATTTGCACTGGCTACGCAGCGCCCGACGTCACTTTCAGACTGATTTTCTGTCTCTCTCGCACGCACTCTTTGTCGTGTCGATTAATATAAGCGGCGTCAGCCGGAGGAGAGCCATACTGACTTAGTATCGGGTATAACTGTAGAGTTGCGGTGTCCGCAGCAACTCACAACGTTCCCCCTCGTTATACCCGATACTCAAAATGAGTATTGGGGTATATTAGATTTGTGGTAAAAGTGGATGTGTGTAACGTCCAGAAGGAATCGTTTCCGACCCTATAAAGTATATATATTCTTGATCAGCATCAATAGCCGAGTCGATTGAGCCCTGTCTGTCTGTCCGTCCGTCCGTCTGTCCGTCTGTCCGTCCCCTTCAGCGCCTAATGCTCAAAGACTATAAGAGCTAGAGCAACGATGTTTTGGATCCAGACTTCTGTGATATGTCACTGCTCCAAAAATATTTCAAAACTTTGCCCCGCCCACTTCCGCCCCCACAAAGGGCGAAAATCTGTGGCATCCACAATTTCGACGATACGAGAAAACTAAAAACGCAGAATCGTAGTAGATGACTATATCTTCTAGAGTGCAAAATCTGAACCAGATCGTATAATTAATACAGCCAGAATCACGAAAACAATTTCACTCTTTCTCGCTCTGTCTCACTCTAACACACAGGTTTCATGGTCGGTTTTGCCAATTGCAAAATATGAGTTCAAGGATCTCAGAACCTATAAAAGCCAGAGCAACCAAATTTGGTATCCACACTCCTGTGATATCGGACCTTGACCGTTTCCTGTCCAAATTTCGCCACACCCCCTTCCGCCCCCGCAAAGGACGAAAATCTGAGGCAACCACAAATCTCAGAGACTATTAAGGCTAGAGTAACCAAATTTGGTGCACACACTCCTTTAAGATGTCACTATAAAACGTATATCTCAGAATTTCGCCCCACCCCCATCCGCCCCCACAAAGGACGAAAATCTGTTGCATCCACAATATTGCAGATTTGAGAAAACTAAAAACGCAGAATCATAGATAATGACCATATCTATTAGATTGCTGAATCTGGATCAGATCAGACCATTTTTTTAGCCAAAAGGAACAAATCAATTTGCAGTGGCTACGCAGCGCCCGACGTCACGCTCAGACTGATTTTCTGTCTCTCTCGCACGCACTCTTTGTCGTGTCGTTAAATATTAGCGGCGTCTGCCGGAGGAGAGCCATACTGACTTAGTATCGGGTATAACCTTAGAGTTGCGGTGTCCGCAGCAACTCACAACGTTCCCCCTCGTTTGATTAATAATTAATGTAAATTGTTATAATATTTAAAGATTTTGAATTTCCTTCTGAGCCCGGCAAATCTTTGGCAATCGAAGATCAGGTGTTCGGCGTATTCAGTTACATTGCACGTTTCGCAGATATTTGAGTCAATTGCTTTGATTCTGTGTAGAAAGACTTTGTCGTATGTGTGTCCTGTCATAAGTCTGTTAATGGTCTTGATGCTTTTAGCATTCCATTTAAGAGAATAATGCCAGGGCTTACTGGGTATGTCTGGAAATATGTCTATGAGGCTGGATCCCTTCGTCCTACACTTCATCCTGTAGTCCTCATTCCATTTGTATACTAAAAAGTTCCTAATTTCTCTTTGAGCCTCCTTGTAGCTGTATTTTATATTTATTGTAACCCCCTCACTTGTAGCAGCCTTTGCTGCTATGTCAGACTTTTCTTTGATGGCCACACCCTTGTGACCAGGGACCCATAGAATGTCAAGTTTCTGAATGTCTGATTGGTTAATTATGTTGTGAATATCATACACTAGGTACGAGTATGTATTCTTATTTTTAATTAAATTAATAGCTCCTAATCCATCACTTAAAATCACAGCCTTTTTGTAATTATATTTAAGACATAGTTCGCAGGCCTTTTTAAGGCCTACGAGTTCGGCACCTACTGAGGATAATCTGCTTTCTATTTTGTACTTGTGGATATTTCCACTAGGCCATTCTACTATTCCTATGCCACATGTACTTTCTGTAACTGAGGCATCTGTTGATAGAATGATTCAGTCGTCCTTTCTGTACTTGTTCAGAATGTCATAAAATATAGATTTTATTTCTTCATTCGAGTATTCTTCATTACCCTTAATTAAAAATGTATCTTATACATAGATTTTGTTACATGTGTTAACACTATCACAGTCTTGAGTGTTTACAAAGATATACGTTTATAATCATTTTGTCTGTATGCAAACATAACGGAGTCGAGAACTGTTGAGACTACCCTGAGCACCCTTTGACGATGGTATTTTAAGAAAAATATACAATTTGAGCTGCCAACGAATTGGTATTATTCTGGATTATCCCTCAATAGTCCAACCACTAACCATACAGTATATACTGTATGGTTAGTGGTCCAACCCTCAATAGCCCGTCATAAAAGTACTAGAAAATACTATAAAAAGCCTAAAAATATGCAAGGTGTGTGTCAAAAGCGAAAGAATACCAAAATACTGAACCGGTGGAAATAATGCGAAACGGTTAAGAGTTTCTCGCGCCATAGTTGGCATTCAAATTTAAATGATTCACTAAAGAATAAGTTATTCTAATGAATAAAATTCTACTTTCGCAGATCACATGTACGATATGAATTAAGTCCTATATCTGGGAGATAAGATCAAAGGATCTTCCTGCATTCTTTTACAGGTCTTTAAGAAACCGCAGGAGAACAATATCTAGAATTTTCTTTTTTTTGAAAGTAGTAACCAGCAAAACAAGGCGGAGTTATAAACCCAAATAATTCACAAAAATTTTGGCCGAATCATGATTTTACATCATCATCCAGTTTAGATTTTTAAGACAATCGAATCAAAACGCTTGAGACACATACGAGTACTATTATCAGTTTATTGACATGTAAATGAATTCCCAGAGAGTCACGCATAAAAAGGAAAACAACGCATGTTTAAACATGTTCATATTATAATTTAAGGGGGCAGGCACAACCGGCCGCCGCCTGTAATGCGCAAGCGTCTAGGAATTGCCTCTGTAAACAACTAACATTTGCCAACAACAAAAGAAAGAGAAGAACTTTGGAACATGTGAAGTCACCTGGCGCCAATTGGATGGGTAAATAAACAAAATGCCATGCCGGTTTCATGCCAATATCATACATATAGTATAGCAAAGTATATAAAGCAATCAACCACCGCATCGAATATGCTAATTGGGCGATGACGAACGCACAAAGACTTTAACTACCATTTGGCAAGTGGTCGGGTCGGGTTGGACGGTAGATTCCCGTCTCCTTCGCCGCCTGTTTGTGCCTGTTTAGGCAGCGTGCTTGTCAAAATAGTTTGAAAGTGAAGCCACCATTCAGAGGGCAAGTTTTAAGCAGCGAACCAATTAATGCCACGGGGAAACCTGTTTGGTTGTCGCCTACCGCCTCTGTCTTGATAAATGATGTCTAATTGGTTTATGCTCGGAATTGAGTTGTTGCCAAAAAGATAAAAGATCAATTTGTCTCCTTTTCAAACGAAAATTCTTCTTCTAAATCACCTTGAGGGGTCTCTTCTGTAGAATTTGGCGAATGCAGTAGATGTCTCATCTAGAAGAGCAGATAATTAAAATAGTTATGAAGAGTTCAATAGACTAAAAATAGAATGTCTTACCTATGATGAACTTTGACCTTTGACCGATCTTCTACCACAGGCATGTTGCCACTCTCACTCTCACGCCGCCTGACCTGCCATTTAACACTTTTTATTTGACATTCACTTTGGAAATCCCCAAAAGTTCTGTTCTAATCTTCGAACCGATAGCTGATCTCAAACAGCAAACAGCAGATGGATGATATATGTACACTGACTGGCTGCTGATAATTTAAAATTATTATTTGCACTTCATTATAAGCGCGAACAAAGCAGCCACCGACAGACCGACCGACTGAACGACAGACCAACCGATCGACGGCCCGGCTAGACGGACAGGTTCAATTTCACATTGTTTTGGGTGATGAGAGGGAGGGGGGCTGCGCTACGACGACTTATAGATCTATAAAAAGTATACGATAAAAAGAATTAAATCTCGACTCCGAAAACGAAAACTGGCTGGCGGCAGTTCGAGTATTAAAATTTATAGAATCACTTCTGATTGTTGCCGTTGTTACTGGCCTGGCACATGTTAATAATATTAATTAATAATATTGTGGCCATTTGTGGGGCTGACTGAGAATTCTCGATATGTGTAGCCTATCAACTGGCATCCTATGAGGAGAAGCCACAGCACAGACACTACGACACCGACAGTGACAGACAGGGCGAAAAAAGAGAGGCAAAACAGAAATAGCAACAACAACAACAAAAAACACCAGGCAGGCAACTGGCAAGACAAGTCAAGAATGAATAAACTATGAAGTGTACTGGTTGCCGCTGCCGCCTCTGTCTGCCCATCTGCGTTTTGGCCCGGCTCTGGGGACCGTCCCATCGCGAAGCCAGCGAGCAAAAATTTTATAAATGCTTGCGTCTGTCCCGAGCCAATTTACAGTTTAGCATTGAACTTGGTCGGGAGTTCGCCAAATCATCGAACGCGTCGCGCAGCCGTTTGTATTCGTTTGCCATCCGTTGACCAGATCCAATCCGTCGCTCAACATGTTGCTGCTCCAGCTGTGCTCCATTGCCCTGCTAGTGTGCCTTGCCAGTGGCGCCTCCAGTTTTCGTGAGTTCTCCATCTAGCAGATCCCCTCTTCAGCCAGAGCACAGCGTAATCCCTGCCCCATTCTTGCCCATTGCAGCTCCTGATCTGCAACGCTGCCGCATTGGAGACACCAAGTGCATCATCAATACCTCCCACCATGTGGTACGTCAGTATGCCAAGACGGGCTATCCAGCAGCCGGCTTTCCGCAGATAGAGCCCTTCCTGGTAAAGCGCTTCGATATATCCGACGGTCGCACGGGATCGCTCAACCTTAAGCTCAACTTTAAAGATGTCAATGTGGAGGGCCTGTCCGGCGTTAAGTTCGACAATGCTGTGTAAGTGAAAATATAAGTGATAAAATATAAATAAAATAGGTGGTTACCCAATTCGTTGTGTCTTTCCCACAGTGGATTCGGTGCAGATCCCGCCACCAGCAAGTTTGAAATGTACGGCAGCATTCCCAAGATCGTGCTGCGCGGAAAGTACACCGCTGACGGACGCATCCTGATCCTGCCCATCCGCGGTGACGGTGATGCTGAGATCACCCTTCATTCGCCTAAGTTCTCAGTGAAGTTCAAGCCGGGCACCCAGGTGAGAGACGGCCGCACCTACCTGACCGTGGACAAGCTCAAGGTGCTCGTCGAGCCACAGAGGTAAGAGATGTTGCTTCAGTTTCAGTCGCAGGCAGCATCCTACATGAGCATGGATTTATTTCAGAATGAACATCAAGCTGACGAACCTCTTCAACGGGGACCAGGCGCTGGGTGCCAATCTGAATCAGTTCCTTAACGAGAACTGGGTTGAGGTCTGGAGCGAACTGCATCCTTCCATCCATTTGGCCATTGCAGAGATCATGAAAAACATTCTCTCCAATCTTTTCAAGCGCTTTGCCTACGAAGATCTGTACCTGGAGAACTGATAAAGCATTAATCATTAGGCATTAGGCAGCATAAGTGTACGAGTATTTCCCTCACAGACATTTTCTTATCCAGCGTGCACTTGGGTGCATTTGGCCATTGACTGTTCCATTGCTCCCAGGCACCACCATAACATCCATCATCATATTTGCTAGGTTATTACTTACTATAAAAACAAAACGTTAGAATAAACAAAATTGTATATGAAAACCGGTTATGGCCTGTCTGTAGCAGGGGGAAGCGCAGTTTGATTGCTTAGATCTAATCATTTCCGCAACAACTGGCGCATACGATTTTGGCAAACGATTAGCAGTCGTCTCACGTGACATTGCCCGACATTTGCATGACAAAATCAGCAGTGGGACTGGAATCAAAGATCCACTCCACTCAGAGAGTGGAAACTCGCTCTCAAGTTCAAGTGTATGCAACGGTAATCCCGAGAGGGGCAGGCAGAGGCGGCCGACACCCGGTTGACCTTCGGGTAGTGCATAAAAATATTCCATTTGCAAGTCAATCAACTGCACCCAAGTTAAACTAGTTATGCTTCCATTCCATTCCACTCGAGTCCCATTTTATTATGATCATCCGGAGGCTGGGCTGTAAAACGAGGCGTTTGGTTAACAAGTGTAGGAGCGAAACGAAGTGAACCTGTTCCTGCGGCATACCTCAAATCTTTTTCATTCCCATTCTGCAAGAGGGCTCTCTGAACGTCACGATGACTCGGTTGTTTTCGCTTCATTTGGCTATTTTTGGACACCCGCTCCAGGGCATGTCCGATCAAGCCACGGGCAAATGTTATACAATTCCAGAAACACAGCCATTGACGCGTTAATATTCGTAATTATCAGATGATTTGTTTTGGAACAATAGCGATTATAACACTTGCATACATGTACATTTAAACCTTTAATTAGATAATTAATAGATCATCGTGTTGTACCGCGTTACGCGCTGACCACAAAGGTGTAAAGTTTACACAGATTTAATCACTCTATAGTTGTTTACTCGTGAGGTCGTTCATACATATCTTCCGAGTATATTATGCCTAGTTAAGTTTAACAAGGTGAAAGATGATATATAGACATTGACCCCAATGCTCATTTCACATTGGATTTGATCAACAAAATAAAGATATAAATTGTTATTCAGATGAAAATAACGGAAGTTCCTCTTCAAAGTTGAGCAGGATCATAATGACCCACCTACAGGGGCTAATAAGTTTGAATTGAACTTAATGAAGAGCATTTTTGAAATTTTTTCTAGTGTCACAGCCGCACTGGCTGCCGGATCAGAAAGATACATACTTTCGGACAACACTATACATGGGGCTGTTTTTGGTGTTTCTTTTCCCCCACAACCAAGGATGCATGTTTTTTTCTATTCTCGGCTCGGAACTGTATAGATATAGGAGACTGAGAAAGAGCGTCTTTAATCTTGACCAAACGGGCCATAGTTTGAAAGTTTGAGTTCCATCCCAAAAGATGCCTCTCGTTCAAGGCTCTTGTTCAGTACCTTCTGTGCGGTTTAGGACGACGCAAAGTAATCAACGACTTGATGAGATTTCGACGTCAGAGCCTGGAGCAGCTCATACGATTGCAAGGAGCAGTCAGGAAGTGCTCCTGGCAGAGCGATACATTCTCTTTGTGTAGCTCCTTTACGACGCATGAGATCAAATCCTGAACGACGGCCTCGTCAGTATCAAAATAGTAAAGGGCATCGTTTACCTCTGAGCCTTGAAAGTGAAATCACTTTAAATACCAAAACATGAGAGAGAAACAGGCCCTCGTTATTGTGCCACAACATACTGGTGCTCAGCGAGATCCTACCAAGCAGATCCATCTGCTGCTGTACCTGAGTTTGGATTTTCCTGTGGATATCGTGGCATAGCATATTCACTTAATAGTCTTTAGACTGACTTCCTGATGCAAAATAAATACCTCTTTAGCGAATAACTGAGGTAGCGATCGAAATATTTACCATTTTCCAATTGGGTGGCTTGGCGGCGGCGTTTAGCGGGAAGACTTCCTTAGTTGTTAAATATATCTCAACTATCGATATTTTCTCGATTTTGGTACTCTACCTCACTAATCTCAAAGACCGGGATAGCTTTATGCGAAAAGCATGATGGCAAGAGTGGGGGTTATATGTACATGCGCTTGGTATTATTATATCTAGTTATTCACATTCTTCAATTAAAGTGTTGCGGAATACGACCTTAATTGTTTTATGACATTCGACTTTGCCGCAAAAGCATAGCATGACAGGCAAAACGCATAACTGCAAAGCCAAGCTCGCTCTCACTGCATCTCTGTTTTTGCAATTAGTCTGTTTTTACCTAGTCCACCAGATGTGTTATGTTCGTATGTAACCACACTTCAAGCTTGGGCTGTGAGACCAGATATAAAAACATTACTTAACGTTTTTTCTCATTCTATCTCTGTCTTTCAGACTAGATTGGTCGTCTTGAAGTGTAGTGTAATACGATACGATAGCTAGAAGCATGGCGCTGCCAACGCAAAATGATCGTGCACAGTTTTTCGCGGGAAAATAAAATGTTAAACAAGCTAAAGTAAACAAGAAGTTATTGTTGCGGTAGTTACTATATCTAGCAGATATGATTAATAGCTTTGTGCAAAACGATAGACTTTCCTAGCCCAACAATGTTTTGCGTATGTATGGTCATATGGTGTGTTTGCATGTTTATCGATCGCGCAGCTTTTGTCTTGACTATTGTTTCGATATAGTAAAAACAATATTTAATTATACCTCGTGTGTTTACATGTTACATTAAATGAGAAATCAATTAAAATTACTCCCGACGCAAGGGAATCCAATAACAGCAGCTAAACTGGAAACAAATAAAGCAATAAATCTCAGTTGCAATTGCGCTGACACACATACACATGTAAATGATACAATGTAAACACATTCCACTAATTAACTAATAGTGCAACTAATTTAAATATGGATTTAGGCCGAGCCTAACCTATGATGCGATTGATTGGATCCGATCCCAAACGAGTTCGCCAGATCGGCAGCAACAGCGCCACATTGCATCGCTTCTCACAATTTTATTGTGATAAATGGGACGGAGGGGAGTTACGTTGAGTGCATCAAAGTAATTGGCGCGCGCCACTATAAATAGTAAACGAAATGCCGGCAAAAAGTCAGTTTTTTGCATTCTAAAGCCGTGTCAACATGTCGCGTATCGTTCTTCCCCTTGTCCTGTGCCTGGCAATGGCCGTGCAGGCCGATTTCCGTAAGAATGAATTGCCAGGAGTCAGCCTTACAGATACACTAACACTCTCGATTCGCCCCCAGCCAATGATCCGAAGCCGTGCAAATACGGAGACACAGAATGTTTTGTGAAGTTTTGCAACAGGCTAATAACGGAGAAGGCAACCGAAGGGGATGACAGCCTGAACCTGGTCCAGCTGGATCCTTTGGCGGTGGATAGGATGGTCCTCAAGCAGGGCGACGATAGGAGCCCAGTGAGGATAGATCTTACGTTTACGAACAACAAACTGTTTGGCAATAAGGATCTGCGCTTCAAAAAGATCAGGTAAGTTTTCAAAAACGTTCCAAAACGAGGCAAAAAGATTTCACATATGTACATTTGTAAACCCTTTACACAGAGGATTCGGCAAGGAAATCGCCACGAAACACGAAATGATAATGACCTCTAAGGTGTACTCCCTGGTGGGTGAATACTCCATCAAGGGCCAGGTCCTGGTCCTGCCCATAAGCGGCTCCGGCCACAGCAACATGACGTTGAGTAAGTTTAGACGAATGTTTCCCCGTAAGATCTTCACTAAATTCAATTTATTTTTCTATGTTTTTCAGTTGGAACGGATTTGAAAGTCAGTTTCATCGGCAAGCCAGTGGAAAAGAATGGAGAGATTTACATGGAAGCCACCGATTTGCAGTATTACTTGAAACCAAAGAGCCAACACTATCACTTTAGCAACCTCTTTAACGGTGACAAGATCCTGGGCGACACAATGAACACATTCCTCAACGAGAACGGGGCCGCCATCTTTAGTGAGACGAAGGAGACAATCGAGAAAGCTTTTGCCGCGTTATACCAGCCCCTGATCACGAGAGTTTTCTCCAAGTATCCATATGCCAAGTATTTTGCCGCGGAAGAGAGTAGCTAATACTTTAATGTCCATAGAAATAAACTTTGCCCTAGTTCGATTTTAGCTGTCCGAAATAACACGAATACTTTGCAATCATCATTAGATTAAATGAGTGCTATAAATCAGAGTCATTAAGATGTTAGAATAAGTGGAGAACCTATTCCCAAAGGTGGATCATGCATATAATCCAAGCATTCCGACTCCAGCCTGAAAGTATGTGGTGCAAGGCATCTGACATAGACATCTTGACCTACAAGGAAATATTGCATGTATTTTAATTGCTAGTATGATGACCCTACGGTCAGAAAATGTTGCCTGTTAACAAGTTGTCAGCCTCTCAATTCATTAAACGCAATTAAAGTATGTCAAAGGCGCTCCCGAGCGATGGCTTAATGAATAATGTTTAAACTCCCCGTGGAAAATTTGCATATATATGCACAAATCAGCCGGCAAAACGTGATTAGGAGAGGGATAGGTGCATTGGGGGGCGGGACAATTACAGTGTCATTGGCATTGGGACTGGAACTGGAACTGAGAAACACCATCCCATGCAAGATCAGCAAGTTCACATCGGTAGTTCATTAAAGGGAGTCGTAAAATAAATCTACCGGTAATAACATCTCACTCATATTCATCTGGGGCGCCGGTTTCTGTTTATAATCCATTTACCATTTACCGAGACTGCACTGACTCAGTCTCGACTTCGTCTAAAGTGAGATTCTCTGTCACCTAAAACGCAAAAGCGGTTTACAGCAGCAACAAAGCACATGATACGATACCATTTAAATTCACACTCTGACACAAAATTTCAATTGAAATGTCGCGACGTAGGAACTGGCCAGGAGAACGATCAAAACCGACTATAAAGGTGGGCCAATTTCAGGGCCAGAGAGACAGTCTTCAATTACATTCAACAGCGATCATAATGGAGAGAAAATTTAGCTTAGTCCTGCTGCTGCTGCCTCTGCTCAGCTGCCTGACTATATCCGTCCGCGGGCACGCCTCTGATCTCCGTGAGTCCTGCCTCCTTGTAATTGAAATTGGTTTCCTAATTGAAATTCTATTGTTTCTGTTGCAGCCGCTGGTATCCAGAGATGCGCAATTAAGGACAATGAGTGTGTGTTGAATGGCGTGAATTTTGTGCTGAAAAACCACGCCCAGAGCGGCATCAAGGAGCTGGGACTGATACCATTGGATCCACTGCACGTAACCAAGTTCACTATTGGCCGGAATCCACACAGTCCGGTCAGTATTGATCTGAGCTTCACGGAGGTGGACTTGTTGGGCCTGTCACGGGCCAGAGCCAAGCGATTGGGGTAAGCTAATCCTTGATAATGATTCCCACTCAACGCTAACTCTATCCATGGTTCTCTAGGGGATTCTCTCTTGATCTTAGCAATCCAATTGAGTTTGTGATGGAGGCACCCGAACTGGCCTTCAAGGGACCTTACTCAGTGGACGGCAAGGTGCTTATTCTGCCCATTGTGGGCAAGGGAAGGGCCGAGATCGTATTGAGTAAGCTTACAGCCAACAACCCCAAAGAATCTCACTCATTCTCTCCCTCCCCTTCCCCAGAGCACTGCAAAATCCATTCTTTGATCACATTGAGGCCCATATCTAAGGGCGGACATCACACCTTCGCAGAAGTTACGGACATCAAGTTGCAGGTCGATCCCTCGCATGTTAGCTACAAGTTGGAGGGTCTCTTCCATGGCCAGAAGGATCTCAGCGAAAACATGCACATTCTGATCAACGAGAACTGGCAGGAAATCTTCAGTGAGCTGAAGCCCAGCATTTCCGAGGCCATGGGTCTGATAGTCAAGTCGGTGCTGAACAAAACCTTTGGCAAGACACCCCTAGAGGAGCTATTCATAGTGTAGAATGGATAGAGCACCCCACCCCTAGTTCAATTAATATTGTTTTTTAGTTCAACTGGTGGAATGTGCAAATATTTAATTGAATTTCAAACTCAAAATATAAAAGTTCCTTGTAGAAAAACGTTTCAACTTAATCCAAATATAGGAAGTACATTCAGTTGACAAATACAATCAAAGGGTTGTGTCTGCTTACAAAACTACAAACAAATTAAAAATTAAACGCTTTTACAAAAATTCTATCTTTTAGTGCTTACAAATGGACATGTAAAAGCAGATTTTGCCAAATTCTTCTGGGCTTTGATTGAAAAACATTCATCGTTGGTGTACCCTCCATGTGTAAATTATAAAGCTATATCTTCTTACTTTTGATTATCGTTGCTTTATGCTCTTGATATTTCTTCTCTTCTTTCCTTTAGCTGCGGAAGCACAAGGGTTTAAAGCGACGTGTTGCAGTATGACGCTTTGGTGGCGATGAGGGCTCCAGCAAATCGCTAATGTCCAGCAAATCAATACCTCCCATTGGAACTTCGGGCTCAGCTTCAGCTTTAGCAGCGTCTTCTGGGGGATCGCACATGGCCCGAACTTCCGGTGGAAAGTAGATGTCTGGATTGCTGAGGAGTGCCGACAGGAAGTCGTCATTCTCTGCTGCACACATGACGACATTATGCAGCTTATAACGATGGGCGATTAGCTGCTCCTCTGGGCTAAGCTGCTTGGGTTGGGCCGCCTTCAGCTCAGTGGCAGCCAAATCCATTGCCTTGTTCATGAGTGCATTGTAGTTTTGGGTCATGGCGGCCGAATAGCGATGCTCATGATCCATTTCCCAGTTAAACACATACACGCAGAGAAAGGCCGAGCGCAGCCACTCTCGCAGATTTATGAGCGAGTCCTCCAGCTTTTGGGCATTAGCTAAAATGAAAACTAGATGATTGATGTCTCTGATTAATGATGGATTGTATATCACTTACAAATGGCTGCAGGTCCCAAGAACTTGCCATTGCGATGGCGCAACGTGGATTTGGAGAACTGCTTAAACAACCTTAGGAAATTTAACGATCCCTTGATAAGTTTGTCGCCCTCCGAGTACTTTACATAGTCAAAGTGGCGATTGGCCTCCAGCATGCGCCGCTGGCAGGCCAGAAAACGATCCGCCTTGCTGCACAGCACCTCCACCTGATAGCGCAGATTCAGGCTATAGGGCATGGTGCGCTTCTTGGGCAGATCAAACAGATAGTCCGATGGAAATGAGTTTTCGGGCCCGAAGCCCAGGTCCTGGTTCATGTGGTCATGCAGCGATTTAAAAAGATTCATCACACGAACAACGGCATTGCGCTCCACGCTGTGGAAGGGAAGAAAACACACACACATGAATATTGGAAGCACTTCATGGGTCGCCATTCAGCACTGCACTCACCAATCGCCACGTAGGCCAATGGAACGCATCATCGGAGTCAGTTGGGCCACATTGAATTGAGTCTCCCTTTGCAGCTGCTGCTGCCGCTGCTGTTGGCTATGCTGCTGCCACTGACCAGAAGTGGCAGCACCCGACCACGACACCGACCTTGACTTCTTTCGATAGCACCCGTTCATAATTGGCTCCTCGGTGTCGCGGGTCCTCTTGGTCAAAGCGAGGCACCCGTAGCCGTGGAACTCAAAGTGAGGAGCATTTTCCAAATTCAAGTTTTTTAAATTAGCTTGCAGTTCGGCCAGCACGATGTGCGAGGTGCTCCCCGAGGAATTTCCAGCACGAGGCTCCGGCTCCAGCTCCGTCGAGTTCTCATTGGATTCCAGCAAAGAGCACAGTTTTGAACCAATTTCCATGAAATTCTCTTCCAGAATCTTGTCTTCGAAGTCCATATTTTTATCAAAAAAAGGGTGGAAAACTTTTGCGCTTAGAAATTGCAGTCTCGAGAATTGTTTTTGTGCGAAAAAGGGCGCGGAGCCAAGCTGTCTGGAGATTTTTGATGCCGCCGCGCAGTCTGGCTTTTAAGTGGACGTCACGATTGGGCGCCAATTGCACGAACTGCTATCGATAGCAGCTATCGAGTGCGTCGTAGTAATCGATCGTATGCGGGCGTTAGGATTCAAATTTGAATATTTTAGCCGGATTATTCATTAATCAATTTTCTACAAGGTTGTAGTGCTGGTAAATAATTTCATTCATTCAATTAACATTAAGATTCTGTTTTCCTGATTTAAAACATAACTAATGACTTTGTCTCAGACTGACATGTTTTAGACCCATTTAGGCATATGATTAGTGTACTGTGTATGTATATAACGATCTCAAAACTGCAAAATATAGTTTCTGCTTTTTCCCAGGATCCCATTGTCGCAGGGGAATTGTTACGACGAAAAATCCCTCCACTAAGAGAGGATATCCAACGACGAAAAAGAGAGCATGTCCCACCAAACGGCTATCGATACTATCGACTAAATACGATGCGCGCCAATCGTTTGAAAATAAATTGTACGATCATATGGACTACGAATATATAGAATAAACTGGACTGCGTCAGTGGGATCCAGGGAAGCACGATTTGAGAGAAAAGTAGATAATATAATCATAAGTACCTCCCAAATGGGCCCAGCACTATCACACATCATAAACAACAAATACGCACCGACAGGGCTCTCTTTTTCACGTTACCAACCACAAGATCGTTAATTCTTTAATTTACAAAGCACAATGAACCAAAGAAAGGCAGGAATTTTTATATTACAAGCTTTCTTTCTATTTTACAGCCACACAGTTAAATCCTTCTCCGTAGTTCAAACGTTTTGGTTGCGTCTACATGCCAGTTTAAAAACTACTTAATATAAAAATTGTCGCTGCTCCTGCTGCTTGCGGCTTTTATTCTGTTTGGTGGCTCGCCTTTCAGGCTTCGCTTCTCACAAATCAATCCCTTGGGAACAGCGGCGGCGTCTAGAAAAGCGATGTGGTACACATTGTCGAATGAAAGAGTTGATGATTTTCGTGTGGATTCTTTACGTTTTAGTTTTTATTAAAAAATTAATAATTTGTGGTTCATCCAAGAAGAGTACCATTTTACTGTGGCTTCCTGCGGAACGAGCAGCCTGAAACGAACAATGAAACAATTTAGTTATGGACCCAAGTGGGAGCTCATGGGCAATGGGGTCCGGTTCTTACCTTCTGTCAGCTTGGCACGTCCTCCAGTTGGCTGGCACAGAATAGTGGCGCAGCCAGCGCAGACCACGACGCCCTGTGCATGACTGAACACAGTTGTGATTCTGTAGCAGCCAGGGCATTTCACGTCCATGAAGTACGAGTTCGGGTGCTGGACCAGACGCTTCAGCTTGTGCTTGCGTTTCTCCTCAGCGGGCAGAGGGTGCAGTAAATCTTTTGCTAGCTGAAAGTGGACGCAATCGTATGGTATGGTCAATTCTCGCATCAACAAAATTCATTCGTACAACAACAGAAATTCGCAAATGTCATTTTTCTAGGTTAAGTTGAATGAATTGACACGAATTGTGTTGGCAACAGTCACAATTTCATGCAAAATCGCAAAATCCGTATCATTTCACAATTGTTTGCAACTTCTTGGGCGCATGCCACGCGTGGGGACAACACCAATACACGGCAAGAAGCTGGTCAGACGTTCGCAGTTTCCGAGACTGTTTTTGGGGTGGCATCTGCGATTTTCACACAAAACACACATTTCTTGAGCACTAGACACTGTGGCGGTGCGCTCTGCATGCTTCTTGCAATGCCAGTTGCTGGTTTTCTTTGTTTAAAACCATTTTTTAGATTCATTTGACACCCACCGGCATGTTTTTTCTTTCACAGCTAACACGGAAAAGGAAGTAGTGTAATTCGCAGCTAGCTTAGCTCGGCAGAAAAAGCACTAAAATATGCCGAGATTCAGTGAATTTAGTGCTGTAAAACACCGTTATGGTGAGGAATGGCGTTAGGGTAAAATTTTTTGCAAGGCAGGCACCGGCATTTTATTGCATTTATTCGATCAAACTATATAAATAAGAAGAAATGCGAACTGTTTCAGGACCCGATCACACCATAGACTTGAATGAGCAGATTCAGTGCTACGAAATATGCGCAAATGACTTTGCCTGCAACCTGATCGCTGTGGCTCTGGAAAGACGCATCTGCTTGATTGTGGTTGGACTGCCGGCAAGTATACTCAGTGCATTGCCTAAATATTGAATTAAATCGAAGCTTGTAACTGTAGGAGGAGAGCGGCGAGTTCTTGTGGCATCATCTGCAGGACTTGGAGCTGGGTGATAGGGATGGACGCTTCGTTAGCGCCATCACATTCTCTCCGGACACTTCTCTGAACAGCACTCCCAACAATGTGACATTTTGCGCCGCCCTTGGCACTGACATGAAGATATTTCGCACGGATGTAGATCAGTACAACACGTTCGACACCCTGAAGGGACACACCGACTACGTGAACGACATATCCTGGGTGTGCGAAGGAGAATTTCTGGCCTCGGTCAGCGATGACTTTACATGCCGGTTCTGGAGCACCGCCGCAGAGGCGGAGAACGTCATCACCTTCTGCCTATCCTCGGCGGGAATGTCGATCAAGAGCCATCCGGATGATAACGAAAAGGTGCTAGTTGCCGAAAAGAGAGGTGCGTTTGAAGCCAATTGATTCACTAATGGACCAACTGATGTTAAGCCAACTCGCCAACTTTCAGGTATCATCCATCTGTATAACGTAAGGCAGAACCAGACCGTTCTGTCCGTGGAATCTCCAAAGTTTCCCCTGATGTCCGCCGACTGGGCCCAGAGCAATCGCCTGTTTGTCTCTGCTCTGGCGGGAGGCGATGTCATCACCTGGGACCTTAATCGTCCATTTGTACCCGCCGACGTCAAGCAGATCCATGAGGACGGCGGCCGGGTGGTTCGCTTTTCTGCCGGTAGCTCAGAAGCGATTCTGGCCAGCATCGGACGGCCGGGTGTTACACTCAAAGTTTTTGGAGCAAAATCTACTGTGCCGCTGCTTGTAGCCGGTTTAAAAACGTACGCAGGATTGGCCTGGCATCAGAGGCTGCCGTACATTAGTGCGGCATCGGATAGGAAATTGCTTTTCTGGAAAGTGCAAATGAAGTGAATTCTAACAAATAAAATTACAAAAATTGTCCTCTAGTACTTATTATTGTAATATTCCTCGGAATATAAAGATCGAGGAATATGAACGATTATCCTCTTTCGTTTCGACGTAATTCGCTAAAACCTTTTTTACGCAAAATCCAATAAAAGCAATTATTTAGAATAAGCCAGTTATGTGGACAAAGCTGAGAGATCTAGTAATATTCGACGGAAGATCAAAAACGAGGATGACAACAATGATTCCTGGCAACACTCATTTTCATACCCTAGGGAAAAGGATATGATGGAGGTGAGAAAATGTTTGTCATCCCAGACTCCGTAGGTATCAGGATCGAGATTAATATATCCAATAATATACATGAATATATGAGAAAAGGTCTTTATAAATTAAGTTTTATCTTCATATAACATTAACAAAATAGGGTGTACAAAGGCCTATACACGCATCGTCTTTAAATACCAGAAAAAATTTGCGACTGTTTTTTTGTTGAACTATTTTGTTTAAGCCTTGTTTTCGTCAAAATAAAATAAAAGCAAGTACTAAAAACTAGCCAGTTAAGTAGAAAATTTATACATCAACGGACTCAACTTAAGTGGGCAGGGCTAAATGTTCTATTTAGCTAGTAATATTCAACGGAATATCAAAAACGAGGAATATGTAAAATATAACTTGAATTTGTCAGTATATTTTTGGTATATTTTGAAAATGAGACCGTTTTTTTTTGGTATTTACACACTGGTCCCGGTCTTTTGCAGTGCTGACTGCGTCAAGCATTTTCTTTAAATATTAATTAAGTAATATATACGAGTTGATTTGAACAGCAAACCAGTGAAGCGTGTTAATCTTGGAATTGCCGAGCTAGAAGTGATCATATTTTCTGGTTTTGGCAAATTCCTGCTTGAGCAAACGTTGTTGAACCGAGCTAGTTAAAAGCAAAGCGCGAGACACATTTTAGCAAGACGTGAAAAGTTTGCCATTTGAAGGGAGATAACCAATACATAAGATATGTGGACCACTAGGAAGGAGGTGGACGAGCAAGTCCACAAAATACTTGGCAAATTGCCGCCCGGACAGTTGGTAATTATGCATTGGAATTTCTTTCTGCAAAAGTTGCGAAATAGTCGGCGCCGTGCCGCCATTGGCGCCATGTATGTGTAGAGATGTTTGAGTGTGTGCGTGCGGCGTCAATTCGGGGCGGCCCGGGGCCCGTGTATACCCACAAAGGGATGCATCTTTCAAATGAAAATTGCGCGCTTTTCTATCACATGTCATTGTGCACAGAGATTGCACAGATATAATATTAATTTCCCAAAGAGCTTCTGCAATGTTTGGCCCCGTATGATTGATGCCTTTGAAAAGTTAGGTTAGGCGACATTTGTCTAACTCTTTTTTATTTTTTTTATTTCGCACACTTTTAGCGCGATGTCAAGGGTATGGCGGTGGCCCGTATGTACTATAAGATACAGGAATACCCGAAAGCTATTGAATACCTCAACAGCTATCTGAAGGTGAAGGAAGAGGCCAATGCCCACAAATTGATTGCCGCCTGCTACACGATGCGCAAGAATCCCGACCGGAAGCTGGCCCTGGAGCATTACCAGCGCTGCATCCAGCTGAATCCCAAGCAGATCGAAGTGATCAACGCTGCCTGCCAATTGCTGCTGGACGACAACAACAGCAGCAGCCTCTTCAGCGTCGAGTGCGCCAAGTTTTGGCTGGACATGGCCGGTGGCATACAATTGAATGAAAGCGAACTGATGTTCCAGTTGCGCGTTAAGATGAAACTTCACGAGAGCACCAATGGAGGAGGAGGCGGGGGCGATGGGGCGCTGCGCGACAACTCTGAGATAAACGCGCTCGAGGACATCATGCTCAGGGAGCTGCATGCGCGGCCACACGACGTACAGGTAAAGGTGCGTCTCATGCGCTGCTATTTGGAGAAAAAGAAACTGGAGGAGGCCTTCAACTATGCCTTCAGGGTGGAGCTGGACGAGAAGACATTCCCCAGTCAGTGCTTGGATTGGTATGAAATCATCTGGACCACAGTCACCAAGCTGGAGCAGGGCAAGGACCTCAAGAAGTGGGGCCAGCGCTTCTGGCAGCTAGCGCTCCACATCCTCGACCGCCTCGTGCAACTCAGCCTGGAGTCGGGTAAGAGTATGCCCGAATGCAGCAACTATTTGTTCCGGCTCGACCAGTACTTGCACAAGTTCAACATGGAGAAGCCATCGTCCTCCTCCGATCCATTGCAACCAAAGATGCAGCAATCCTGCGTGGATCACTACTCGGGCCAGGTGCTGCTCCATGCGGTGGCGATCGTCTTCAAGCGGGAGCTCGTGAGCAACCACAACAAGTGGATAAAGAGCTTGAAGAGCGTGCTGCCACTCCTGCTGCTGGGCTACCAGTCGAAGCCGCTGCAGGATAACTTTTCCGAGCCCTGGATGAAGCACTGCGATGCCGATCAGAAGAAGCTCCTGCAACAGTGGCGCCTCCAGGGTGCCTTCCGTTGCGCCCAATTGGGAAGGACTCTGTTCGGCTGCCTCCAACCCGCCAAGTCGCATGAAATGGACCAGAAAGAGAACATTCCCTCAGGCCAAAACAATGGCTATCAGCCAATGATTGGATTGTTTGAGGACTCCGACAAGCTGCTGGCCTGCGCCCGCCTCCAGTGGCAGGACAAGAACTGGCGTCGCCAGCTCTTCCAGGTTCTCTTCTGCCAACCCGATCATAAACTGAAGGAGAACACCTCGCATCTCGTGCGCAACCCCAAGCTGGAGGAACCCCTTTGCGAATGGCCTGCGGAGGCGGACATCGAGTCCTACGAGCGGCAAGCCCTGCTCCTGAAGCCCCAGTCGCTGGCGCAACATGTGTACCTAGCCCTGGGCGCCAGCGAGACTCTTGGAAGTGCTCCACGAGTACTATTCTACGAGGGACTGCGCCACGATGTGACGCAAGACTTGAGCTTCTGCGGCCAGGAGTCGCTCTCGCAGTTGGATATTGATTTATTCCTCTATGCGACGGTCATCCAGACCCACAGCCGATTGGCCGGCCAGCGGGAGAGCTACGACAGATGCAATCTGGGGAATTTCAGTTCCTCGGCACGGCCCCACATGATGCCGTATGCCAATGTGATCAGCCAATTGGCCACGCCCGAGCAGAGCAGCTGGTGGGATCTGGTCCTGCGCTTGCACAAGAATCAAGTGCCCGAATGCAGCCGGGGCGAGCAACGAGCCCAGATCCAGATGGGGCTGGAGGCGGTACGCGGTGTCAATGGCGCCAAAGCGGACATCATCATACTCTTGAAGCTGGGGGCCATTCTCTGCTCGCGCGAGGATCGAGATGTACTCGAGCGTCGCATCGACACCCTGTACAAGCAGGCCTTTAACATGCTGCGTCGCGACCAGCACCACGGGGCAGCCGTAAATGAGCATTATGCGCGATTCTTCAAGCTCGCTTCGGCCGCCAGCTCTGCCACTTATGAGGAACGTCAGCGCCTGGCCGACGACGCCATCTTGTACTTCAGCTCGAAGATGTTCAAGACGCATCAGTATCAGCAGTTCATCGACGAGGTGCGCGGCTTGAACCTCCCAATGGCCGTCTACATGCAGGCCGAGGCGTATCGCAAGCTGGAGTCCTCCAGTCAAATCAACAGAGAGGCCAAAGCGCGCTATTGGGAGCGCCGCAGGGACTGCCTGCAGCAGGCACAGCAGTTGCTCCGTGGCCATACGAAGCATCCGCTGTGCGGGATGATCAGCGGCGAGCTAAGGCGCTGCGAAGACGATCGCTGCGAGACGAGCTACGATGTCTATGGCTCGCCGGATAATCACAACAATTCGTCCAGCTACGAGGATGCCGAGGACGCCGAGAATGGGGATTTCTATGCGACTGCTTCGCTCAGCCTCAACCGTTCTCGACGACATGGGGAACCGCCGGCTGCTGCGCTCCCGAGGGGTACACCAGTTCGGGGTACGCCAGGCGGCACTCCGGCCACAGCGGGCACACCGCTGGCCTTCAATGCGAAATTCAATCAGCTGGAGGATATGGTCAAGCAGACGAACAAGTCCCTGTGCCAGTTCAAGGACGATATGCATCAGGAGATGAAGAACCTCACCGAAAAGTTAACCGGTCTCGAGGATATGATCAAGAAAATTAAGATCACACACAGGGATACGCCCACCCGGGATGTGGACGCGGCCACGGCTCTCGGTCTCGATGATCTCTTCATCATTGAGGAGCTCGATGCACAGCAACAGCAGCAGCAGCAACAGCAGAACCAGGCGGCGGCTGCCGCAGCAGCAGCGGCACTGCAACATCAACAGGTGTTGGCTTCGAACTATGGAGTACCCAATCCCAATCCCGGGGGCTTTTTCAATGGCGTACCAGCCGTACCCTCGCCACAGGATCGAATCCTGCAGGGCACCTATGGTAGTCAATTGTTCAACCAGAATCAGCTATACAATTACTATGCGGCCCAGGCGCAGCAGTATATGCGCACTCCACCGGCACCTGGGTCGTTGCCGCCACTAAATATGTTTGGTAAGTTGTACAATTCTGCATTTTATCATCAGTTTTAGAGCATTCAATTGCAGAATAACAATCATTTCATATAAGTTCCTGAAAAAGCTATGACACTCTTAGAGCTGTCTGGTAGAAAACTCTTAAATCTGCGTTGCCGCTCCTCACAACCTTAAAAGCTGTCCGCTTTTACACTCGGTAATTTGTGTTTGAAGAGACACCTATAGCTGTCTGCAATAGAACTCTCAATCTTTGATCAGCCACTCTTAAGGTCTATGCTTTGAAACATGAAATCTCTCTCAGCTGTTCAAGCCGGCTCTCTCTCTGCTATGACACACTTAAAACTGTCGGCTATGCAACTCTTAGAGCTCTCTGCTATGAAAGTTGTTCCAAAAAATCGAATAAGTTGAAGTTTAACATCAAAATCAACAACCATTCCTGCCTGTACAAAAAAACCAGTATACATTTTTCTAAACATAATACAAATGTTCTATGCAGGCCCACAGAATCCTAACTTTGCTGG